CTTCAATCTCAAAAGTACAAGTATTTACATTTCTGTACTCCTCTTGGAGTAGAATGATTATCTTAAACCTTTCTGAATTCATGTGCAGCAACACTGACTCCAGAGACTGGTCCTTGAGATACTGTAACATATGAAGAAGATTCAAACACATTTAGCTGATGCTGGAAGATTGCAGCTCGTGATCATAGGTTCACACTTCATCTGTTCCCACTTAATCCTAGTTTAGTAAATGATACCTTCTCCTCTCATCCGTGTATTCAGACTAATTTACAGTCCACCATTCTTCTGACTACCAGACGTTTAGTCCATTGAACACTGGGTGAAATTAAAGTTCTATCCCAAATCACACAGTATCACAGTATGCTAGAGATTGGAAGGGACCTCGAAAGATCATCTAGTCCAATCCCCCTGCCGGAGCAGGAACACCTAGATAAATCATCACATTTTCTTTATAATGCTGAAAAATACACTTGCTCTTGCAGACCTCCAAGTCCTTCACTATGGATGGGATAGTCCAGGCAATCAATGTGGGTGAAACTCCTCAATCCTCAGAAAGCAAACAGGATTAGCAACACAGGCTTAACATTTTGACTGCTTGTGTCAAAATGGAGAGGAGAAGTATCATACTGTCATATTCACATATTGCCTGCACAGCACCCCTAGAATTAAGAAAACAGTCCTGGATTTAGGATACTCAGCTGACAGTTCAAAACAGCAGCCAAGGCTTACTGCCTGGAGCGTGGAAACAGAAATAACTTATCTTCTCAAATTCTCTCTGACCAGGTTTACAAGGGAAGGCAAGTGGCTACTTTAAACATTATCGATAAGCGAAAGGAAGCAGGGAAGGGATAACCAGTACAAGAGCTCTTCAAAGCTTCAAAGAAAATGAATTCCCTCTCTAGTGTCTCTGGAGCCTAGCCTAGATGAAACATGAAATGCAAACTCCATACTTGCCAGAAGATACCAAAGGGAATACTGGTCATTTCGTGCAACTGGTCAGTGTGTTATGCAGCTGTACATACAGATGGCCAAACAGAACTATCCCTGTTGCATTTAGGCAATATTTGTTTATTAAGCATACAAATTGTACTGTGTCTCATGTTACTCCAGTTCAGAAAACATTTGAAGGCTTTGCTCTCAGTTTTGTAGGTAACAAGGGTGATAAATGCATGGTTATTTTGTCCAAGAACAACGAGATCCTCAACTTCTTTCTAGTGAAAGCTATGAAAACTCATTTAATTTTACCAGCAACTCAACCCATCCCTACGAACAGTTAGCCCTAGCAGGTTCAGGCAAACAAGAATTACAGTGACTTTTTATACCTCTATCTTAAACATTTGGTCTTTTGGACTCCCTGTACTATAGTGCTTAGTGATAAATTGCAACAAATCCACACCCAGTTTTCATTAGCACAGCACCAGTAAAGATTCAGTTCTCTTCACATCAGATGAGACAAAACAAAAAGAACATTTTTGAAACACCAGCCCCAGTGTTGCCATGTGGAAACCCCTACCGATGATAAACCATTCCAAAGCCATGGACAACCCAGTATATAAAGGCCAGTAACATTAACAGTTGTCATAAGGTGAAAAGTCTGCAAACCTTTCCAGATACAAAGAGGCAAAATGGGGGACCAGAAGCAATGCAAATGAGGGGTACAGGCAAGACAGCAAACACAGGAGACTGTGTGGGATGACACCACAGCCTGACGGTTTTACAACCATTGGCCATGCTGACCTCCATACTTTTACGCTGATATCACTATCAGGCATGTAGACACAGCATGAAAAACATTAACTGTGTTTGCAGCACTACTTCATAATCCCGATTAGAATGACACTATTTCCTATGAACTTGGGAATGACTTGCAAATCAAGATTCCTGGGCACTAAGGAGAATGCAAGGACCTTCCAAACATTTGTACTACAGGCCAGAAGCTTCTTACCTTCACTGTTTGGTTTCTTGTAATTTTAAATGCAAGGAGAGGAGAGTTTTATGTTAGTTAGATCTATAAAGACTGTTGGCAGCTCAAGAACACAAATGAAACATCCCATCACAAAATATTATATACCTAGTAACAAAGAAAAAAAAATAAAAATCACACAAAACCCTTTGCACTTACCTATATATATTCCATGTTGCTACTGGCAAATTAAGGAGAAAGATGAACCAGTGCAATGAAATAAGCATTAATACTGTTACAACAGCATGGCCAATCACTTCAGGCACCACCCACTGTAAAAAGGGAAGAAAAGGAATTATATGCACAAATGTAAATTCTTTTCTGAAGAAGAGATCTATAGAGTTATCATCTAATTCTAATCATGTAAAACTCAGGCAGAAAAATCATGGCAGAAGCATATGATTTCATCACATGTGGGGAAATGGATACCTTCAGACAAATTCCATGTGAGTTAGAATATCTTAGGGCCTGGTTTTGGGCTAACAGACCTCCTTTATCCAAGTATTACAAAAGTTTCTAGAGAAGCACAGCAGCTGTTTGAACACAACTATGTTACACAAGCACTTAAGAAAGAGAGTTAAGAAATATACAGTGCTCATTTGAAATCACTGCAGAGAACTGGATTTAGGAATGAGAGAAGCAGAATTAAAATGTGCACAGACACAGGACATACAAGCACCCTCAGGCTTGGAACAGATAAGAAAGTTGATCAATATGAAAACTGGCATAGTCAAATTGTGTCAGCCCCTGGCAGTAACACATTTTCACCTTTACAGTACCCTGCAGCATTCTCTTTTACACTAAGAAAGAAAATATCAAAAATCAAAGTGAGCACCCATGCAGGAAGGCCATACTGATTTGGTTAAAATGGTACTTTTTCTTATCATAGTAAAACTCTCTACTTTTGGAGAGAAATTACACAAAAACCATCTGAGAAAGTTGCTATAAAGATCTCAGAGTTCAGTCACAGACAGACATCCTTGGTGTGGCTTTCAAAAACAAAAGCACAGAACTTAAGAGGTCTGTGAAGAGTTAAGTCTCAGCCCCAGGAATGTGGAGTACCAAGGGTCAGAGGAACAGCCTTTCCTGACTGAATTTGCAGAAAGACAGCCATCAAAAAAAAGACAAGCAGACTGAAATAAAGGATATAAGCCAAATAATGCCAATTGAGGCTCTTCAGACACACATTACACCCCTGTTGTTTGCGATGCTAAGATGAAGAGCCATTTTTTTAAACCACATAAAATGCAAAGAAGAATAATTTACTTTATTGAGTTTTGAGCAGCACGATCTAGCGTTAATGTAGTCACATTCCAAATCTGATAGCGTAATTATCTGAAGCCCAAGATGAGGAAAATTTGTATGGTAACTGGGAATACACAAAGCTTTATTTTCATCCAATAACTTGTGGAGAGCACTCTGCTCTCAGCATAGACTGTCCTGTTCTACAGCTGATCTGACAAAAGCATATTTCACTTGGTTACAATTAACTCTGGCTTTAGGTTGCAAGTTAGGCTAGATTTTATCACTAGGCCAAGTGATTTTATAATGTTTTTCCTGTGGCAACTGTTGCCTAAGTTCTAAAGTTCAGTTCAACCCTAAGAACAGACGGAGGAGGCAAACTCAGTATTTTTAGTATCAGAATTATTGCTACAACACTTGAAACCACAACTTAGAAGAAAAAGTTAATGCAGTCTTTAAACTCTCCTCACAATAAAGTGCACAACAGTGCAGGTTTTTGAAGTGTATCTACTTTTTGTTTTTACATTTACAGCAACATTGGCTGAATTCAAACTTGGCTAGAAAAAAAGAGGGTAACATCATTATGAAATGAACTTTCAGCAATTGAAAAAGAGAAGACTTCAGACAGAAAAGCTCTCTAAAAAAGGTCTTCGGATGTACACATCATTACGCTATGCCCTGTAAAGCTCAGGCTCCTTTTCTCCAAGAAAATGAAAAAGCACAAGATTTCTTGAATCCCTAGGTAAAGCCTTTACATTTTTCAACAAACAACCTAACCTTCTAGGATTAATTTCTTTCAAGTGCTTCTGTATTTTTTCCTATTACAAGAACTGGAGAGATTCTGAACTAGCACCAGGATGAATGCCAGTTCTCTCGTACTCAGAAAAATAAGAAAGCAAAGCCCAGTCGGCGCTTCTACATCGCAACAAGGCCAGGCAGCAAAGCCCGCAGGTAAGTCTGTAATAAACACTATGGGAATTCCGTTTGCCAAGGAACTCGCAGTCTCCCAGCCGCAAGCTCACATCTGAAATCGCGTGGGGTGTTCTTATAATTAAAGCTCCCGCATGACCGTGTTTTACAGGCCTGTGCGGTTTGTGAGAGCATGGAGCACGCTTTGACACCCCCCCACCGCCAAGCATACGCTACTTGTGCTGAGCCGCGATGTGTGGCCGCCTGCAGCCCCCCTGAGCTCCAGCTCCCGAAGCAGCGACCGTATTTCGTGCACTGGAGCACCCGCCGCTTCCCTACAACGCGGCACTCCCGTCTCTCTGAACCCTTCCCTACCGGCTCCCCGGGCACCAGCCGCCAGCGGACATTACCTCACAGACCCTCACGTCCCCTTGCCCTCAGCCCGGCGGCGCCGGCCCCGTTCGCCTGCCCTCAGAGACACCTCAATGGGCCCGGCCCACCTCGGTCTCGCCGCGGGGCTGCCGCAGCCCTCACCCTGCCCACCCCGGTCGCCCGCCAACCCCAGATTAAAAGGATACGAAGTAGACGGAAAGGAAGATGAGGGCACAGCAGTCAATGAGCGAGAAGATGAAGACCACCGACTCCATCCCGCCGCGGCCGCCGCCCTCCCGGCCGCCGTACGCCCTGTTCCCCCGCCCGGCAGGGCCGCGCAGTGCCTCCTAGCATGCTGGGAAATGGAGTCTCCGCCCGCTCTCCTCAGCAGTCGCTCCCGGGCGGTGGCAGGCGGGTACGTCCCGGCTCTTGCTGAAGGCGCCGCGGTGGCGGAGGGTTCACAGAGCCCTGACGGGAAGGGCACCGTGAGCGGCAGGGCACAGTCAGAGCGAGCTGCTCCTCCGCGCCGCTCCGCCGGTGCGGGCCGGCGGTTCAAAGGGGGCCTGCGGCGGCGCGGCTGAGGCGCCCTGGGGCTGCCTGCGCGCAATTCCCGCCTAGCGGCTCTCGGCCGCCCGGCGCAGGCGAAGCGGTGGGCAGGCCTCGGTGCCGCCGGCGCGGGCAGGCGGCGGGCGGCGATGCGAAGCCGGCCGGGGCGCTTCGTGGACCTGCGGCTGAAGCAGCGCGTTAAGCAGGTACCGGGGCGGGCGGCGGCCCCGAGGACTGCGTGGCTCGCCGGGCCGCCACCCCGCCTTGCGGACAGGGTCTGGGCCATCGGCCTGCTCAGGGGTGGGAGGGAGGCGCGGAGGGTGCCCGGACGCGGCCTGGCCCCTCCGGGGTTTGGAAATGGGGGGAGTTATTTGGTTTTGGCATTTTGTTTCGTTTTGTTTTATTCTTCGGTATTTCTGATCTCGAAGCTGGCTCCAATTTCAAATCAGATGGATGTCGTAGAGCCATGGAATGGTTTGTGTTGGAAGGGACCTTAAAGCTCATCCAGTTCTAACCCCCTGCCACGGGCAGGGACACCTTCCACTAGAGCAGCTTACTCCAAGCCCTGCCCAACCTGGCCTTGAACACTGCCAGGGATGGGGCAGCCACAGCTTCTCTGGGCACCCTGTGCCAGCGCCTCAGCACCCTCACAGGGAAGAACTTCTGCCTAATGTCTGATCTGAATCTCCCCTCTGTCAGTTTAAAGCCATTCCCCCTTGTCCTGTCCCTACAGGCCCTAAAAGCCACACTCCAGGTTTTTTATAGCCCCTTTAGGCACTGGGAGCTGTTCTAAGGTCTCCCCTTAAGGAGCCTTGTCTTTTCCAGGATAAACCAGCCCAGCTTTCTCAGCCTGTCTCCAAAGCAGAGCTGCTCCAAGCCCCTTGGAGCATCTTCATGGCCTCCTCTGGGCTTGCTCCAACAAGTTTTCATCCTTCTTATGTTGGGGGTTTCAGAACTGGACACAGTACTCCAATGTAGTCCAGAGAAAATGCACTTGGAGAATATCTAGCCAAATTGGAAGTGTTTACCTTTGGAAACATGTACATCGATTATATTAATCGCTGACTGAAGAAAAAGGAAGAAGTATGATTACTTCCACAATACACCCGTGAAGAGCAGGGAAAACAGGGATTCCTTCAGGTGGCATAGTGCTGTGTCACACCTTCTGAAAATTTATGGTGACTTGGGAATTAAACACCATTTCTCTGAGTCTGTGTATAAGTACTCCGCTTCTAATTCCTTCAAAGCGAGTGGCTGCTTGAGGATAGTTGCTTATTTTACTTTTCAAGATCACAGTGAAATTGTCTTGACTATTCTGAAGTGAGTAAGGCAGCTGGATTTATGGTGGGCTTGATTTTTTTCTGTAGGTCAGTAGTTGCTCATGGGTGACCTGAAGTGTCACATCATTTAAAAAAGGAATTCTGAATTTAATATTAAGCAGTTTGATTTTAAATAGAGGTATTAATTTAAATGAGATTTTAAAGTTGTTCTTGCTGCAGCCTTGGTAATGCCATCTCTTTTAGGGACATTGTGTCTCCTTTTTCTAAGAAGGAAAATTCACCATCAGGGGGTTGGAACCAGGTGATTTTTAAGGTCCCTTCAAACCCAAACCATTCTGTGATTTGGTGATTACCGTATTGAAACTTCTTCTTGCTCCTAATTTGGAGAGTGGGGAGAGAAAGCAAATGGAGTCCAGTTGCACCTGAAATTTTGTACATTTTCTTGCACTTTCATAACTGTGGTTTGAAAATGGTTGGATCAGCTGCTGTCAGAAAAAAAAGAAAAGGAAAGGAAAAGCTGTATAGAATTCACTGTAATTTATATACTTTTCTAGAGCATTCATTGAAACATTTTGTAAAGATTAAAGTTTTTATTATGACAGTATCCATACTAACTCGTGTAGATTCTTTCATTTTTAAGGTAGGAGACCTAAACCCAGAAGGAGGTTAACTGAGAGAAATCAAGAACTTTAGAGGGATTGACAATTTACAAAGTCACCTTTCTTGCTATATAAAAACAATGGCATTGCACCAGCAGAGATCATGCAAGTGTCAAAATACAGTGTGCTGCTTTTCCCTTCTGTGTCTTAATAAGCTTTCCTGTTTCACTGGGAAATACTGTCTAGTGTGTTCCAAGGCAGTTCAAAGCTGTTTTCAATTTTCATTTCTAAGAAGAGTAGGGTTTAAAGTAGGCATATTTGATCTATTTGCTCTAGTGAAGTGATTGACAAAGATTTCATTTGCTGCTTAAAACTCTTCATTTCAGTATCTTGCAAGTAGTAAATGTGGCCAGTATGTTGACATTGGAATCCTAGCATCTGATTTGCAGAAAACCTACAGGTGAGCAAAGATTTGTACTTTAGCAGTGTTTCCATCTGCTGATATATCTAGTAACTCATATTTTATTAATGCACTGGCATTGCAAGATCTATTTGTGGTTTGTTTTTTTGTGGGCTGCTTTTTTTGTTGTAATTAAAATGCTACAGATGTATTACAGCATGTTGGTCCTTACCCTCAGTGAGCTGAAATGTTAGGGAAAATAACACTTCGGTGCAGGTAGATGGGGGAGATAGCGGGTTCAGCAAGACACTAAATCTTGCTCAGATGCTCAGCAGGATGGTCAGTCTTGCCTAATTAATTTTAGGCTGATATGGGTGGGAGCAAGGCTGTGTGTCAGCAGGTCTTTGGTGGCTGTGGGGGTTAATGAAGGTGGAGAATTATATTCATTCATGTTTGTGTGTTCTGTTTGTGCCTTGTTAGAGAAAGGGAGCCAAACCCTTTGCTTAGGATGCTTACAGGTCTTGGGATTTTGTTTTGGTTTTCCTCTTTCAACGATTTTATAAAAGCAAATAGATAAAACATACCCTCAGTAAGTGAAGGTAAAAGGTTGATGATTTTTGTTTGCATTTAAGGGTGCTCATTGAATCAGATTTTCTTATAGGGACCGTTATTGATCAGCACAGTTATTCCTCACTGGACTGTCCTTTCTAGTCCTGTGTCCATATAGAATCCAGTTTGATCATTTGTATGTTGCTGCTTCTCTGTATCTCCAGCTAAAAAGGATCTTGATAGTATTAACTAAACATCCCTTTAGAGGCCAGTATAGTTTAGTGCTTTTGTTTCATCCCAGTGATTGAGCTGTTCCAGGCTTAAGACAAAAGGATCATGTGTTCACATAGTTGGTTTTTAATAACAGCTTCTATAAAAGTTTGGTTTTCAACTGACAATGTATTTTTCCCCCCCTGAAAATGACACTGTGTGTTGGGGGAAGAAGCAGTTGGTGTAACGTGTTTATTTTGGTTTTTTTTTCAGTGCAGACTATGGACGAAGAAAACGAAATGCTTTTAGAATACAAGTTGAAAAAGGTAGTTCTGTTAGTATTATGTCTAAGATCAAATTTTTTTAATATGCTTTGGCTGTTTTCTTAACATGTTTGAACCTTTCCTTTTAGTGTTTGGAATAATCAGTAATGAAAAAGAACGTGAAGATTTAGCAGGTTTAGAAGCCGAACATGTGGCAAAAAGAGCAAGACAGCAAGAGAAAAATGAGTAAGAAGAATTTTTACCATTAGATTACTTTAATAATGCCATTAATATTGTGACTTCTTTAAAACTGTCTTTCTGCATATTATTAAATTTTGGTAGCTTTAAGGTTACAGACAGATCTTTGATTTCCCATAGGCCTGTCTTCATCAGAAATTACCTGTAGTGAATGGAAGCACTTTTTTCACTGAAGACAAGCAGATACTAGAACCAGGCACAATTTTTCTGTTATGGGGATCATATAGCCCTTAATTAGTGGATAACCTTGAGGCTTTCTCGATAGTTTTCCACGAGGGGCCCCAGTCCTCATATGATTCAGTTCCTTAGTTTTGTTTTGTGTTTAAATGTTCTTGGGTGTGAGGGACATTAACTGAATCTGAGCGAAAAAGCTACAAGATAGGCTATTCAGAGTAAATCACCGCTGGATCTGAGGTTTCCTGACTCCCAGTTCTGCATAGTCTCATGGACCATTCTGGTTTCCCTAACCTTTGATAGACATTAAGGGTCTCATAGGAAATTAGGACATGGTTGACAGAAGAACTAGTCCAGTACAGCAGTGAATTGCTAGTACTTCCCTTGTGCCAGCACTGGAGATTGTGTGATCTCTTGGTGAACTGAATTAGATTGATCCTACACCACTTTTTTTTTAGAGCAGTCTTTCAGCCAGGTTGCAAAGTTGATCTAACTCATGGCAGACTTGGAAAGGATGTGGTTTTTAACTCTTCATAGGAGTAAATTTAGAGCATGCAAGTCAGGGATTTTTCTCCAGTCTTAGGCTGCATATCATGGGTATAAGGAACCACATTGTAGAAATTGCATTGTTTTGTTTTGGGGGTGTCTCCTTTGCAGTTCTGCTCCGATACCCTAATAGTTTTTGTCTTCCTTCCATGTAAAGGACTTCAGGAAGTGCCACAGATGACTCTGATTATGATGATTATCCAGAAGATCTAGTAAGTTGTATTTTATTATAATTGTATTTGCATAATACACAATTCTGTGTTGTGAAATTGCAATGCACTTGGAGAGTTTAAAAACGAAGGTGAGGTAAAGTCAGAGTTGGCAATTCCAACTGAGAATCTGTAGAACTGAAAGGAGGCTTTTCCCTGAAGAAGAAGGGAGAATCTGTAGTGGGGAGTCACTTCTTAAGAACACGTGCTGGGGGTCTGAAAGACTTAGCTATGGAATGAATGAAATGATTGAAGGAGCTGACATGCCTATTACTAAAAGAGGTGACTGTCAATTAACAGGGGTCGTTCAGAGTAAATTGCAAAGACTGCACTCTCTTTGACTAGCAGATACAGTTTTATATGCTGTTGTTTGCTTTGCAGGGGAGTAGGGTAGAAGATGCATGGCTACTTTATCCATCAGGGATAATACTAAATGTTGTTTATGAAATACTTTTCATTGGCCTCAGTATAAATAATCCAAGTTATAACCTGTATATTTCTTTTAAAATACATTTTGCAGTCTACAAATCACATGAACAGTTCCCTGCTGAGCTTATACAAGAAAGGAAATCCGGATTCTGTTCCAACCACTCCAAAAAATGAACCAATGGAAACCCCCCCTCCTGTACGAACAGCACCCCAAGCAAGCACCCTCTCATCAGGAGCAAGAGTTGAAACACGTATCTCTGAGGGTGGCTGGTTCATTGATAAAACTCCATGTGGAAAAGACTTCTTCATTGACCTTTCTGAGGATGGAGAAGGAGATGAAAAGAAACTGATTTCTGAGGTATTGTGTTTTACGAACCCAATGTGATTTAAGTAGCAAGTATGAAGATAATTTCCTGTGTAATTTGTCAGGCTTTTAAAGGGTGATACTAAAATCAGACCATCTTTCTCTCTGGATTTTTAAAATGTGTTATTTTAATTACAAACATGCATGTGTTTGCAGGTAATGAACATATTAAATAGAAAGGAAAGATTGGCTTCGACTCAGTGGAATACTTCCTTTTCACTAGGTTTCTGAAGAAGGAAGGGCTTAGCCTATTATTTTGCCTTGTCAAAAGCGATTTTTGAACCTTAAGGGCCATTTCAAGTGTGTTTGTATGAGAGGTTAAAAAGTCACAAAATTACAACTTTCCTCACCATTTTTTGAGGCAAATGTAGTGCTCAGTATTAGAGAGACCCAGATTAATGCCCATACTTAGAGAAAGGTTAGCAGAACTTAGCTATTATTTATTCTGTTTGCCAGTGACCAGCCTAACTAGTGCGGAAGCATGTGGCTTGCTGTAGCCATAGCACATGGTCTCCTTTAGCCAGTGGTTAAGTCTTAGAGCATGGAAAAAGCTGAAATCGTTTGGATGGACAAGAGTTGGGGAAGTTGAAGGGAAATTGCATTGATTTATAAAGCAGTTAGAAGTAGGTCCTACTCCTCATCCAGACATACTGGCTACTTCGTGATTCCTCTCCCCCCCCCCCCCCCCCAGTGTTTTTATCTTATTTAGGAAAAAAACATCCAGATTTGTTTAGCTGTTGAATTTTTTCCATTTGTGCATGGGAGATAACACACATTGTTTGGCTGACCAGATGTTTTGGCAGGATGCTCTTTTTTTTATGTGAAGGAAGAACTACATTTATATCCACCTTCGTAACTGCACAACAAGGTACTTACTGAACAGGCAGATTTGAGACATCATCCCTTTGTCCTAGTAGTACTGTGTCCTCTTACATAGAGAAATTGAATAAAAGGGAGATCTTCAAATTGTAAAATTTGCAATACTGTATACTGAAAAACATACAAAACCCTTTCTCAAAGAACCTCTTTTTTTCTTTGTTTTCTCCTGTATTAGTATTTTTTTTCATACAGTTTATTTATGTTGGCACTGAATAATATTATAGCCACTCATGACTTAGTAGTAATAAAAATTGTTTCCATTGGCATTAATATATTCATATAGGTATCTTCATCCCTAAAGTGGATTGCTTTGTGATATCCAAATAACTGGTGTCTAATTTTGGTTAGTGCTTTGGAGGGTTTGGGTGAGGGAAGGTGTTTGGGGTTTTTTTGCTTGGAGGTATGTACTCTTAGCAAAAAAAGTGACTGCTGTAATTGACCCTTTTAAAAAGGGCTAATCTTCAGTAAAAATAAAGGCTTTTCTCCAAAAGGAAGGGGGTTGAATTCCTGCCTTGCTGCTCTTTATTTATATAATATGTGTAAGATAAGCATCGTAGGCACACACTTTGTCCTTTTAAGTATTTGCAGAAATTCACTGACTTGGAAGGCTTTGTATATTTAGTTCTGGGTTTATGCCGTAGAAATCAACAGAAGTGTCTGCCTTGGAGAGTGAAAGAAAGAAGACAAAGGGTAAGAGAACAAAAAGAAAAAAAGAAGAACTTCCAGATGTAGATGAAGAGATTAATTCCATCTTGCTTAAAGAGAAAGGTGAGAAGTTACTTTCAGGGTGTTGCTCCAAACAGAGACTGTTTGACCATGGGATCCATTACCACAGAATTGTTTTCTGAGCATCCTCAAGCATTTATTTTTTTGTTAAGAAATTTAGCCTTAACATTGTACTAAAAATATATTCCAGTCCTGTGTCTGCTACCACAAAATAATACTAGTCCATGTACTTAGCTAATTGTTTAGCCTGAGTACTTTTTTGTTCGGTGTTAGTAATTATTATTATGCCATGTCTAAATTTGCATGACTTTTTCTCCTTAACAGTTAGAAGTAAGGCACCAGAGCTTTACCACCCTTCGGTGAAGTTTGAGGATGTAGGAGGCAACGATGGAACTTTAAAGGTTTGTGAAAATTTTATTTGTGGGGTACAGAATGCACTGAAGAAAATGTCATGAAAAATGAGAAAGAAGTCTGACAGAATTCATCTGCATGGTGCTGAGAACAGCTGCCTGTACCAACAGCAACAAAGTGGTTTTTCCCTTTGATTAATCTTGCTGAAGGCAGTCACTGAAATTATGTTAATGAACAGAATTTGCTTTATTTTTCCCTGTCTATGATATTGGCAATCTGTAATACTAATTGCTGCAATTTAGATGGAGGTCTCCCTTGTTCTTAACAGGAAATATGCAAGATGCTCATTCATGTCCGTCACCCTGAAGTCTATAAGCACTTAGGTGTGGTTCCGCCTCGGGGTTTTCTTTTACATGGACCACCAGGATGTGGAAAGACACTACTTGCACAGGCAATTGCTGGGGTGAGATAGCTTTAAATTTATAGTTTCTTCTCTTTCTGAATTATACTTTGAGAGAAAATATAATCCTTCTTCATAGAATCATAGAATGGTTTGGGTTGGAAAGGACCTTAAGATATCTAATTCCAACCCCCGGCGATGGGCAGGGACGCCTCACACTAGACCGTGTTGCCCGAGGCTCTCTCCAGCCTGGACTTGAACACTGCCAGGGATGGGGCATATCATGCTAAACTAGATTTTTCTTCTTTTTTGTCTCTTTTCTCTCCATTCAGTCTTAGTCTCAAACGCATTCATCTTTACTTCCTTTGCTTAAATTCCGTCTGAATCTGTACTTGATAGAACCTCATATATAAAGAGGGGACATAGTGACAGGGTTTTATGTTGGATTTACTTGTTTTGAGGCATTCCCAGGACAACAGTATAGACATGAGTGTTGAGAAGGCTATATATAGAAGATACTTCTGGTTAAATTTACCATACTGTTTTAAGCGTGGACTGAACCTTACCATCTTTTATGAGGCATTATGTTGATTCTGTTCGTGGCATCCATTGAACAGTGATTTCTGAATTTCAAAACTGGGTATTGCCTTGCCTATGTCAAGCTAACAATTTCAGATCATAGGACAATATTGGTATTAATAGTTTGGTGTGTGGTGAGGCTGCTGGGCTGCTATGCTCCTGTTTTGGATATAAATCTAGGGGCTATATTTAGGGCTATTTGGTGCTAACCATGAACATTTCTTTAATACAATTGTTCCTTAAGTGTCACAGACTATAACCTTAAATATAGATACATGGAAATGACAAACTTTTGTAGGGAAGATTTAATTTTTTTAAAGAAAATATGGATGTTTATTCCTTAAATGTTGGTTAGACCCTTCTGACATTATTTCAGATGTTTTCATTAAAAAGATTTGGGTTTCTTCTTTTCAGTGCTTTACTGTAAAAAGGTACCCATTGAGTGAATCTCTGCTATTTAACGATTCAGTGGGTATTTGTATCCTGGAAGGGTATTAAATTTGGGGAAAGAATCATGACACAAGTGGAAAAATGTTCAGAGATGAGATAAAAAGATGTGGAAAGTCTGGAGAGGGTCCAGAGAAGGGTCATAGACATGATCAAAGGACTGGAAACCTGCCATGTGAGGGAAGGCTGAGGGATCTGGGTTTGCTCAACCTTGAGAAAAGAATGTTCATGGGAGACCTTGTCACCATGTTCCGGTATTTAAAGGATGGCTGTAAAGAAGATGGAGACTCTCTCTCTACAAGGAGACACATGGAAAAGAGGAGGGGTGATGGGTGCAAATTACTTATGGGGAGATTCAGCTTGGGAAGTTTTTCATAGTGGGAACAGTCAGCCATTGGAATGATTCCCCAGGAAAGTGATGGATTCACCAGTGCTGGATTCTTTTAAGATTCAGCTGGACAGGGCGCTAGGACATCTTTTTTAGACTCTCTTTTGCAAAGAAAGGTTAGACCAGATGGTCCTTGAGATCCCTTCCAACCTGGGATTCTGATTCTGTGATAAATTTAATGAGTAATTCTTAAATATGAGATTTTCAATAGTGCTGTTTAAGGCAAATTAGCTCCTCCAAGCCCCAGGTGCTTCTGGTGGCCTTGATTTGTATAAATTAGGATTATTTTTTAATATATATGTGTAGTTCAAGGAGCTTGAAATAGGCTGCCACTACCTATAGCACTACTGGGCTACAGTCTATCAAAGTTACAATTTTACTTACTTTTAAGAGCAGAAAAACATGGCCTTGAGCTTTACAAATATCTCACTGTATGTTCCTCCTCAGATATTTCTGGAGCACGTTTGAGGGAACCAAACCACACTGCTAAGCAATGCTTTTCACAGATGGAAATAGGCAACTTGTTCAAGAAGGGAGGCCAAGCATGCACCGAAATATATGTGTTGTGAAGGACTGGGTTGGAGGCCAAGGTGCAAAGTTATTTGACAGTGCAATTGTTCTCTAACTGAATTAGGAAAACCTGGTTTTTATATCCATTTCTGTTCACTTGGTCAAATGGCACAGACCCATTTTAAATTGGAGGATACAGCTAATCTGTGTTTTAAAGCTCTTTAAGATTAGTCTTGATTGAATAATCTTTGGGCATAAAATATGTCATACTGGAAAATATCTGTCCTCTAGGACAGCCAGTATTTCTAACCTCTAGATATAGCATACAATACATGATGTTGTATGTTCCTTGTCTTTTTCAGGAACTTGAGCTCCCGATGCTGAAAGTTGCAGCAACAGAGGTGGTGTCTGGAGTGTCAGGGGAGTCTGAGCAGAAACTGAGAGAACTGTTTGAGCAGGCTGTGGTGAGACACTGAACTGTTTTTCATTGTCTTTGTAAGGATTCATACTTTGTTGCTGTGGTATGAATTTGAGTGAAGATTTGTGAGTGAATCTTTATACTGCTGCACACAAGTCATAGTGTCTCCCCTTCTGTGACTAGAATTCCATTGTACTAAGTGTCACGCTGTCACAGAGCACAGAGATCACTGTTCTGAAATCTTGGCCAAATACAGTTCATCATATCAATGTAAAGAGATCATCATAAATTATTTACCTATTTGGAGCTGCTTGGCTTGATACATAAAAATAGGGAAGAGCAGTTCACTGTACTCTTTTATTACAACTTTTTTTTGCTGCTTTTATCAGGCATGGGATTTGAATGAATGTGAGAGACTTAAAACTTGCGGGTTTAGGTATAAAGTATGAAATCTGGGACAAACATAATAAGAGAACAAATCAAATTACAGCTGAAGTCTTGCTTTGCTGAAAGTTCCAGACTCGGTAAGAAGCAAAGAGAACCAGCCAGGTTAAAACATTAAACATTTAATATGTGGATAATGTTTTATTTCATGAGGTCAGTTTTTTGTTCCTGACCTCTGAGAATGTTCTGGCTTTCCAACTTTATTCAATTTTTCTGCTCTCCGCTACAAATGTAGATAGGTGTTTAGAATATGTACCTGTGAAAAAGAATACTAAGCGAAGCTAAACTGCTTATTGTGAAGCTGTTAGATTATTATGTTTCCAGTTCCAACTACATTTTAATTTTAGAAAGCCTTGTGAAGATGTTTCTTAGAATAAAATTGAGTGTGATCGTACAGATTTTTTTTTTAGAAATTACATCTTTTGTGTGTACATTGAGGGAAGGTTGCGTTATTTTTAAAGCAACTAAATATATTGCATAAAAGATGTTTAAAAATAAAATGTGGCCTTTCTTATCGCCTTTCACGTTCACGTCCACTTAGTTTTTGTACAGGGAACAAAACTATAGTTACACATTATGTGTGTGCTGTGACTCTTTACAGCTTAATTGCATTTTCTCCCGAAGTGGAGATGAATGACGACTAGATGGCGCAGTTGCCACCCGATAATGCCGAGTGCATGGGTCTGAAAATACTGTTGTTTTATACTGGACTGTTTTTGAGGATGATTCTAGTGTTTTCCATAAGTATTCCTCTGCCCTACTAGTGCTTTTTGAGAATATGAATAATCTTACGTCTGTTAAACACTGTTCTGTTAGTTACACTAATTATTCTTCTATATTAGTGTTGGTTTTTTATGAACATGAAGTACATGGAATTCCAGAACACTTGTAGGAGTTGCTCATTACTCATTTATACTCTGAACATGGTCAGGCTCTGTAGTCATCTGGAAGCTGGCAGATCATTCTTCATGACCACCTACTGCTACTTTTGTTTTGTGATGTATGTCAGTAACATTAGCTCTTGAAATTCCACAGCTCTAATGTCACTAACAAAACAAACAAAAACCAACCCAGACCTTTCTTGCCTGATTTTCTTTTCTGGACTTAAGCAAGTAAGCAGTCACAATGGAGTATTTATAGAAAACATAAAGCAGCGTAGAGGCAGGTTTAAATTTTAAACAATATATAGACACATTTTGAATCTCATGCCTTAATTATTTCATAGCTTCAGCTCAGCACAGTTTCGTAGTCTGGTGGCTTTCCAGATAGTCAATAATAACAACAGAATTGTTCTAGGGCAGGCTGCTTCTACAGCAGACTTACAGTGATACTTACAACATAGAAAGTCTGAATAATTTCTTTCTCTCTTGTAATGCACTCTGCCATTGTAATTCTGTAGCTATTAATATTTCTTGTTCCTAGTCCAGTGCACCGTGTGTCCTTTTCATTGATGAGATTGATGCCATCACCCCAAAAAGAGAAGTTGCATCAAAGGACATGGAGCGGAGAATTGTTGCTCAGTTCCTGACTTGTATGGATGGTCAGTTTCAGGAACATCTGTACTAAGCTAAACCTCTTAATGATCAGGCTTGCTGTTTTCCTTCAGTAGTGACTCATGGTTACTTTAGTGGAGATAGTGGCAATAATTTTTCATGTTTTGGCACAGTTTCCCTGGGGGATGGTAGGAAGATTCTAATTAATTTGAGAGAATGTTGCTGCCTTATTTTCACAATGGTCTGTGCAGCGTTACAAAAGCCTGTCTGTTGGACAGAGAGTTATAATGGGAAAATGTGTCAAATGTTGTTTGAAATGCTTACTTTTTACTTGATTATGCAAAATGCAAATTCTAAGTTGTGGATATAAGGATGAAGAGCAGTTTAGTCTGCCTTTGGCTAGTTTATCTCTGCTGTTCTGAGTATTATTGTGTGCTGCAGAACCAGAATCCTGCTGCTATCAGGACAAAGTTGAGACAGTGGATATGAGTACTAACTTCCTTCCTTCCTTCCTTCCTTTAGATTTGAATAACGTGGCTGCCACTACCCAGGTCCTTGTTATCGGAGCAACCAACAGACCTGACTCACTGGACCCTGCACTGAGGCGAGCTGGGAGGTTTGATCGGGAAATTCGTTTAGGGATCCCAGATGAAGCAGCAAGAGAAAAGTATGTGTGTTAAAAGTATAAGCTTCTTTTTCCTTAATTAATAAATAAGGAAATAATGTGCAAGTTAACATAAAAATTCAGGAAGAGTATTGTGTTTAGCCCTGTTTTTGCCTGCACACACTTGTGGGTAGGCATACACTGGAAAGTGTGGAAGACATTAAGTGTGCATCTGTTCTTTGTCTTGGTAACTGTGACTACATTTTGAATGATTTCATTTCTTGTGAGCAATTGTTACTGAGTTTTCAAGTGCCTTAATAGTAAAGAGGATGGAATTAAATATATGTTCCCTGTTGTTCAGAAGTTAAACGTGCTGTCTTCGGTGCTCCCTGTGTAACTATTAATTTAGGAACATAAATTAAGTATAGCCCATTTGTTAGTCCTCTCAAGCACATACATACCTTAAGCAACAGGCCTAACTTCTTCCCTTCCATTTTTTTGTGGAAATACGCTGGTCCAGGCATTAAGCTGAGCTGCAGTTATCCTGTTTTGTAACTGGCCCCATTATATTCCAAAGATCTGTGACTGTCAGACTAGATGGAAAAACTAAAACAAACCAAAAACCCCACAACTTTTGCTTTTATAATTAAGAAAGAGCTGCTACTCATTTCCACAATAGCAAAAAACACAGGAAGGGAATCATGAAGACAGCTGTGGCTTGTTATGTGAAGGAAAGAAAGGTTAAAGGATAAGTTAATTCTAGCTCAACAAACCTTATTTCTTAGGTTGACAAAACAAGCTATTTTGCTTGCAGTATTGCTCACTTTGTGTTCTCAACACTGCTGGCTGTTATTCCACCTTTCTTTGCCCCCACCCTGCCCATACAGTAATTATGTATGTAATAGTTATGTTCCTCTTGGTTGTGCAAAAGCATGCAAGTGGTTTGATGTAGAACTAAAGAATTTACTGTTGAGATTTCTGATTCTGATGTTTTTTTTTGGTTTGTGTTGAAAATATGATATTCAGTATGATATTCCCAGAAACAGCACTGCTTCAAAGGGTCGGAGTTGTGAATGGGAAAGCCATCATAGTGTTTAAAGATTGTTCATGAGTTAGTCACATTCGTTCTTGTAATTGTTTTGTGCAGTTTGTACTTGTGTTCCTGGAGGTGTAGGCTTACAGGAACTGTTGGTTTTATTTTTCTTTGTTAAATTAACCACCTCTCTAGCTTTACTGTGTGTTTTGGCTTTGGGCTGGTTTCTGCTGGGGTGGTTTTCTCCTTTCTCTGAAAAATAAAAGGGCCATATAGAAGCAGAAGTCCTCATAGTGCTCTGGTTTACCACGTAATAAAGTCTTGCTACCTAACTACCTACTTGTGGTTCTGCAGCCTTAGGGGGATAAAGTAGAATGAGAAGGAGTACCTGGTGTTTACTTGTGGTGTTTTCATGTGCATGTATGAAGCACATGAAGGAAAACAGTAGGGGATGGATTTGTAATGAGGCATTTACAGTTCTTAATACTACATTCTGAATTACTTGCTTCACTACAGATGTTGTCAGACAGGTTGAAAAAGTCTTGAGAACTAAGCCAATGTCACTAATACAGATTTAAATGAGAGACTGTGGAAATTATTAGTGGGGGAGGCAAACAGATGAAACATACTAAAATTTAAGAGTTATGAACAGAACAAGATATTAAACTATTCAAAACATTTCTGTAGTTACATTACTTGATGTGGAAGTAATTTAAGCTAGTTTTGATTGGAACTAGAAAGCGTGTTAATGTTCTTCACTTCTTGGTTTGTTCCTGGTTTTGTGCTGCTTTTTTAGAATATTTTCCTAATGAAGTGATGTTTTGCTGTTTTAAACAAGCTGATTTGATCCCTCTGCCAGTATTTGTGTGGTGACATTGGCTTTTGTCTTTGGTTTTGACTACTCACGTAGTTTTCAGTTCTCCTTGGCTTAGGAGAACAGCAGGAAGGCCTGGTGGACCTTGAAGGAGGTTTTTAAAGCTTGGGCCTTGATACAGGGTGAAATAACTCCCATTAAAAAAGCATGCAGCATAGCATTTCACTGTTAGTTACCTAGAGCTGTTTTGTATTAGTGATGGAACTGTATAAGTAGGTGTAACTTCAGCTTTTGGGTCAGGATGAGGTAACACATGAGGTGTACACATAAGCTGTTGGAAATGCCCGTTGGAAATTTTAGGGGGGACACAGGAAATATCTGCAGTTATATTCAGCTGACAGTGGTAGAGGAAAGATACTGAAGATTAAAAGACAGAGCTCTTCAGACAGTCTGATTTCATTTGTTGTTTGTAGAATAGTTTGTTGTGGATGTTCTTTGATAAATAAATAAAACTGGTATGGAACAGACAAGGCAGACTAAGGTTGTTACGAATACAAGGTTGAATATCTCAATGCGTAACTTATATGTGTCTCTGTGGTATGCTCTGAGATCTACTCTGTCAATTTAGAATCATAAACTAGGGTTTAAAAAGTCTGTAATGCTGAGATTCACCAAAACCAACTTTTACCCACTGATTGACCTTGTTGGTTGATGCTGGGTTTTGTTTAAGAACTGAAAGGAAATACCTAGTATGGGTTTGTGGGTTTCACTGTTAGCTACTTTCTAGTTGAGTGAAAATTGTTCCCACTGTGCTACTTCAGTTCATGTAGACTGAGAGAGACCATAAATCAATGCTGTTTGTTTTCATGTGAAAATTAAAAAAGCCACAGGTTCATCTTTATTTTGTTGCTTTTTTTCTCCTTACTTCTTCAGAATTCTTCGGACTTTGTGTCGAAAACTGAAGCTCCCAGAATCCTTTGAATTTCGTCACTTAGCACATCTGACTCCAGGTTATGTAGGTGCTGATCTGATGGCACTTTGTCGTGAGGCAGCTTTGTGCACAGTGAACAGGGTCCTGATAAAATCTGAGCAGCAGGAAAAGAAACATATACACACTGGAGGAAATTCAGCTGAAGAAAGCATGGGAATAGGAACAGACATCCTGGTGGAAGAGGATGCCAAACAACTAGAACTACCTCCTAAGGTATTTGTTCATTGAAGCGTGTGCCTCTGAAGGTATAACATAAATCTTAAGAACTGAGCCATTTTATAGTTGGGAAAGTCATTGCTCATAAATCCTTAAACATCTATGGCAAATGTAATTTTAGATTTAGAAGTAACAGCTCTTAAGCCAGAAGCTTAACTCCAAAATAACCCATATAATGGGTCTGAGTAAGTGCCTCCCAAAACCTACACCTTCTAAAGATAGTATTAACGTTTTATACAAGGTGTGTTTTTTCCCTTGGGCTTTTCATTGCTGTTGTTTGTGTTGTGTTGTTTTGTTTGCTAGCAGACCAGAGGTTAAAATAGTGGCTATATCTGCCTTCAGAAGTAACAGAATGTTAAGAATCTCAAAAGTGCACTGAGTTTTTATCAAGCTGTTTGCTGTGCCCTTAGTGAAGTATCCATTATGATGCCTGGGGCTCTTTCCTGACCTGGTATAGTTGCAGTTAGCCAAAAATAGGAAGTACTTATGCAGTCTGCATTTTTCCTTCCAGCTGTATGATTAGTTGTGGTAAATCCCATGTGGCATCTCATACCTATAGCAAGTTCGAGGGAGAGGTATCTATCCAGTGGAAAAGTTGAGTTAGCAATGTAATTTGAGAAAGTATCTGTTAATGTGCAGCACAGCTGGAACTCTGTGGCAGAAAACAGCATTTCCAGTGCCAGAATTATTCTATGGCCCAAGTAACATGCTGTTGTCAGTGAATCAGACCATCTTTATCTAGAAATTCTTGACCCTACTTGTCAATATTTGGAGCATGTATATGCCTTCATTACATGTAGGTTTCCTGAAGATTTGTCTGGAGAAGTAAAACAAATTGGTTTTAAATCCAGTTTGTACTCGGATTCTGGTTTTAGAAGGACTGCCAAAGAATAGTGCTATTGCCATTAGCAAAAAACAGTGTAAAAAGCTGTAGTAAGCTTTTGTATTAGAATAACAGCATCACACTGCAGTAACTCCCAGTGGTTCCTGAGGCCTGATGTAGTCAAAAGAAAGCAGGAAGGGGCAGGTAGTTGCAGCTTTTATCAACATCACCATGATCAAAGGGGTTGATGAGGATGAGGAAGTCTAATCCTAACAGAGCCATATTTTGATAGCTGGCAGGAGGTTGACATAGTCTAATACAGGGCATTGTCATTAAAACCATTATATTATGTTTATAATGGGAAACTAAACATACAAAGCCTTTAAAAATCATTCACACAATTCAGGTAAACAAACTCAGTGGTCTTGGCTATTTCAGAGGTTTTTTTAATGGTTCTGTTAAGGAGAGAAGGCTTAAAAGGATTATTGGGCACTATGAAGACTTCTCTTTCTTTGTGGTCAGTTGTAGAGCTATCTTAGTTGCAACAAATAGGAAGAGATACATTCCCCATATACTGCTGTAGGAAAAATGTGGAAACTTAACAGGGTTTCTTACTATTTTTCTCCCTCTATCTTATAAATGAAAACTTCGGTATAGTTCTCTTGTGGTGCAGTATCAATTGGTTTTGATACAGCCTTTCTGTATAAGAACCGGGATGTATTTGTTGTGCAACTATAAAGTGCTTTGATCAAGTATCTTCTCAGTTTCCCCAATAAGGAGCCAACTGGGGAAATTGGGATGTACCTGCCTGGGGCACTGTGGTCTGCAAGATGGGACAGTGTTGAAAAGCATTACCCTGTGTGTCTATTCTGTTTGCCCAAACTTTATCAGGGCCTTACTACAGAACCAGGTCTAATCAGACTGAGGAAATGAGTTGATGACTTGAAATCAGATTATGTTAAATAAAAGTGCATAATCTAAAAGTGTTAAGAGTTTTAAAGGTGTATATGTAACTGAATATTCTGCAAATTATTGGGATTGTGCTGTTCAGCAGAGTTATTTGCTTTCTCTTGAGAGCAATTTGTTATTAAAACCAGAATTAATACATGTAATAGATGTTTTGGAAATTTCAGCATGGAAAGAACTTTTTCCTAATCAGTGTGGAAGAAACAGTGGGAAGAATTTGAAGACAAAATAAATGTGCTAGCTCTGTTTCTGTGGTTGCTAGCTCTGTTTCTGTGGTATCTAAATCAAGGTTGTAGTCTGTCAGCTCAGTGCTTTCGCAAGTATTACATGTACATAGTACTTTCCTATCATTACATTTTTATCATTAATGTTACTTTTGAATGTTGTTTTGCATATTTTATATGTATCATGCATAATTTGTTGTATAATAATTAATATTGCAATTGAAGAAAGTATTGCTTTGAAAAAGCCCTTAATGGTTCTTAAAATCTAATCCAGTGCATAACCTTATTCTTTCCTTTTCCATATATCCTCAGGATGAATTGCAGAGGCTTTTGGATTTACTGAAGAAGCAAGACCCCTTGCCTGAGGAGCAGCTGCAGAAGCTGTGCATTGAGATGAATGATTTTATTGTTGCACTGTCATCTGTGCAACCCTCTGCCAAGAGAGAAGGCTTTGTCACAATTCCTGATGTGACATGGGCAGATATCGGAGCCCTGGAGGATGTTCGGGAGGAGCTGACTATGGCAATATTGGTATGTCTTAATCTTGCTTTCAAAGATTTTGTCTTTGCACTTCCCTCTGTGTAGGAAATAAAGCTATGCTTGTTTGGTTTATAAGAGGTATTGAAGGTATAATAATACAAGGTGCTGCCCATGAGTTCTAATATGCCACAACCTAGGAATTTTGCAACATCTTCATTTTAAAACTTCATTTGTCAGACTTCTCTAATTTGCTTTCAAATTCATTATGAGTCTGGTACACGTATTTAACCTTTCACGTACTGAAAACTGAAAGCATGAAAACAATGTTCTTTATTACTGAACGTTAAGTTACCTAAGAATTTTGTACTAACAACCTTAGTTATACAACTGCCACACAAAGAATTGGAAACAAGGGAGGTTAGCAGTCTCGCTGCCAGTCAGAGGGCATCTTAACACTAACACCTTAGGATGAGAACTTATATAATCTTTGCTTCTCAGTAATGGTACAGGATGCTGATTGACTGTTTATTCTTTTAGCCTAAGAAGAATTGGCATTAAAAAAATTGCTTATGAAGTATTTTTAATCCAACTGTAACTGAAATGAAAAATTCCATGCTAGCTGTTTGTCACAGATGATGATGATGATGATTTCTTTTCTAGGCACCTGTGCGAAACCCAGAGCAGTTTAAAGCTCTGGGCCTCACTACTCCAGCTGGTGTCCTCCTTGCAGGGCCTCCTGGATGTGGCAAAACGCTGTTAGCTAAGGTAATACATTTTCTAAACACAGAATCATAGAATCAGCTAGGTTGGAAAAGACCTTCAAGATCCTCAAGTGCAACCATTCCTGTCAGGTCCACCACTAAACCGTATCACTAAGGGCCTTATCTACACAGTATTTGAACACTTCCAGGAATGGTGACTTCACCATGTCCCTGGGCAGCCTGTTCCAGTGTGTTTAAAAATACTCGAGAATCTTCTTGAAGTGGATGTTTTTGTAGGGATAGCTGAGTCTGGATGAGACTGCCAGAAGTTGGGCTTTTGCACCTCCTCTCATCATAAAATTAAATTTGGGCCTCTGTGCTAAAGTTATGTGATCTTCTTGTCATAAAATTACGATTTTGCTTGAATTGATATGGAATTACTGCAAAACTTGAAGGAATTAAGTTGGTGAAGAGGAAAATAGCAAAGATGGAAAGAAACTTTATTAGATAACCACTTGTTTGGAATATTTCACTGTAACTAAATTGTATACTTGGAAGTAGTCTACACTCCATTATATTTATGTAGTTTTGTTTATTTTATTTACCTGACTGAAAATACTTCTGTCTTCCTTCTCCTTGGGGCATTTAATTTCTTATGGCCTCCCCATGTAGATGCAGATAATCATTCCAGATTGTCACTCATCTTTGTCTTCAAATGCTCTTATGTAGTTGAATATCTCTTTAACTCCCACTAATTACTGAGACTTCTTCAGCTAATACGGGGGAGGACACTGGGGTGTGAATTTGGATCCCTGCCCCATTAAAGAGGGAGAACACCTTGCTAAATTCCCTGCCTCCGTTCCCAGTCTTCATTGCATATAATTGTACTTGTTTTCTGTATTTTACAAGCAGTTGATAACTGTGTTCATTCCTTTAAGCTTGTTTATTGCTCCATGGACAGAACCAAAGAAAACATGAAAAATGTCTGGTTTATGTATACATCTATTTTTATTCCTTTTGATAGGCTGTGGCAAATGAGTCTGGACTGAACTTTATATCTGTGAAAGGTCCTGAACTGCTAAATATGGTATGCATTAATCATTGTGCTTCTGTTATTTATGGAATTCTTGTCCGAAGCATGGGGCAAGCAAAGTTCCTGGTAATTACACAGCTGGTACTGGTGCAACTCAGGTTGCCTCATCTAACCTCTGCTTAAAGTTTTTGGCTTTTTCCTTTACACATGAACAACTCCACTGCTATCTGGGTAGATTTAAGTATGTTTCTCAGTTTAAATTACATGGCAGATGGAGCCTTCTTGATTTAAGTAGGATTTCTAAATGACCAACTACATCCATCATTGCTTTATGCAGATCTGGAAAAATAACAAAATTTAAAATCTACAGTGAGAACAACTCATGATCAGTAACTTTTTGGTTCCCTACCACCAGTCCCCCTGTCTTCAAACAACTGCTATATGAACTTCAGATGTTCATTCTGTTCAGAGTGCTCACTGGGTTTGTCTGTGAACAGCTGAAGAACAACAGGGCCTTTAATGAAGACTGTATTTGTGAATCATAGAATCATTTATGTTGGAAAAGACCTGTAAGATCATAACTGACTGCCAAGGCCACCACTAAACCATGTCCCTAAGTGCCACATCTACATGTCTTAAATACCTCCAGGGATGGTGATTCCACCACTGCCCTGGGCAGCCTGTTCCAGTGCTTAACAGCCCTTTCTGTGAGTAAATTTTTCCCAGTATCCAGTCTAAACCTCCCCTGGTGCAACTTGAGGCAATTTCTTCTTGTCTTACAGCTTGTTACTTGGGGAGAAGAGACTGACTCCCACCTCACTACAACCCACCTCACTACAACCTCAGTTCCCTTAGCTGTTCCTCATGAGACTTGTGCTCCAGACCCTTCACCAGCTTTGTTGCTGAACTTTGGACATGTTCCAGCACCTCATATGTGTCTCCTGTAGTGAGGGGCTCAGAACTGAACACAGTATTTGAGGTGCGGCCTCAACTGTGCTAAGTATAGGGGGACGATCACTTCCCTGGCCCTGCTGGCCACACTACTCTCATCAGCAGATTCATGGCAAGTTAGATTTATTCCCCAAAAAGTAGAGAAGTAAAAAAGTTTAAACTCTGAATGTACTGCAAACTGTCATAAGTGAGCTAGAGACAGTTCCTATGTAAGTCTTGCTCAGTAAGGACATAGAAACAGACTGTTACTGAAGTAAACTGGTTAGCAAGTTGCAATTCTCCCTTGCAAAGCACCTCAAATACTGTTTAAAACTGATTTTTTTTTGCTTATTTTGTTTTAAATCAAAATCTTCATGTCTGAAATGGTTTCACTGTGATTTGTCTTTTGTTCTAGTATGTTGGTGAAAGCGAACGTGCTGTCCGTCAGGTATTCCAGCGTGCCAGGAATTCAGCCCCGTGTGTTATATTCTTTGATGAAGTTGATGCTTTGTGCCCTCGGAGGTCTGACCGTGAAGTGAGTGTGTTGTAAAATATCTCCATAAATAAATGACCTCAAGTTGCAGGTTTTGTGGCATTGTGTTAGCAACGGAAGCAACCGAAAGGGTGCTACGTTCAGTATCTCCCAAGAAAAGCAATCCAAGAGGCTCTCTCATTGTTGAGGAAAAATATATTAGTCAAATTTTATAAAGCTTTATTTTTTCTTTTACTATGCATATATAGAGAAAAATTACTCAGAGAACGTGTCTATATCTACCAAGTTGGCCATGCAGAGCAGCAGGAAAAGACGGAGTGTAGTTCAATGTCGTGTTTCATTTATGGCCAAATCTGATACCTGTATGCAACTGTAATGCTTGCGTGAAGTTTGTATTTATTTGAACAACGTGAACTGGGTCATGAAAATACCTGAGGCAGGAGTGTAAATGGAATGCATTAGACTTCAGAGCTATTCCACCTCTGAGGTTTTCTCTGTTAAGCACTCAAACCGTATTAGTAGAATTTAATTTAATTAGAATTGAATGCTAAGATTATAAAAATAGAAATCCAGAATACAGTTGCGTTGAAGGTGTGAAAAAGAAACTTTGAGTATGTTTTGGGACAGAGATTTTATTTCTTTTACTTTGAAATATTCATATTCCCGCTGTATTCTCAATTTTGTTGACACATTTCTCCATTTAAAGTCAGGAGCCAGTGTCCGAGTAGTCAACCAGTTACTCACGGAGATGGATGGTCTGGAGAATCGTCAGCAGGTTTTCATTATGGCTGCCACAAACAGGCCAGGTAAGGACCCAAAAATCATAAACAAGAGAAATCATACCTCTTAAGTTCTCTTTAAGGAAATCATGTGTTTTTACATACAGCTAACCTTGTTCTGACCTTAAAATTACAGTGTCTCCTCAAATGCAAACCTTTCCTGATCAATTAATCTGTTCCATGTTCTTGTGGCAGTGTAAGATGAAGCAGCCTCTTTCAAATCTGTCTTAATTAGTACCTGATACCATTGCTGTAAAATGCTTTAAAAGACCTTTGGCTGAATTGGATTTTGGATTATCTTCTTGGAACATAAAATTCTAACTAAAACATGAGTTACGTATTTTTTGCTGCTTAAATTGATTTTTTTTTTAATTTTTTTTTTTTTAATCTAGTACAACCTTACAGTCTTTTGTTTTAATTTTTGTTTGCCTTGAGGGACCTGTCTCATGTTAAATCATTTTCCCTTTTGCCTGTCTTTTGCTTCTTGGGCTTCATGTTCTGAACTTGGTTTCCCCCTTGAGTTCTTTGCATCATGACAGACCTTCTACAAGGTGACGTATTAGCAGAAAATGCTTAAATCTGTATCTGCTTGTAGATCATCTAGTTCCAGCTCCCTGCTGTGGGAAGGGACACCTTCCACTAACGAGGGTTGAACTACTATTTGAAGGAAGCTAAAGGAGATTTGTGAGGCAGATTGCAATCAGCAATGTATTACTGGCCAGTGACATTGATGAAAAAAGTGGATTTGAGGTTAAGATGCCAAACATAAACAAAATTTAAAGGCAGGGATAACAAATCTGATAACCAAATGGGAGTGTGTAGATGTATCTATGAATTCTGTAAATAGAAATGAATTCTATCTTGATAAAGGAGTTGTTTTGCCAACACAATAAAACATCTGTTTTCTGAACAGCAGAGCTTGGCACATCTGGCTTTTGTTAGAGGAGGCAATTATCTTTGCAGTTTGGATAAGGATGAGTATCTTGATTCAGAAAGATACCAGCTGTGAATACACTTAGGATATGTTTAGACTACAGACTTCTGCTGTGATGCCTGTATTGCAAAGAAACATAAGTTCTAGTGGATGCAGCTTTTATCAGAGCAGTTTTTTCTTTTGTGCAGTTTACTTACCATTTATTGGGCTTCTGAAGAGGCAGTGTTCACCAAATTAAATTCTACTAGTATGGTTTGCGTGCCTAATAGGAGCATGCTGCAAATAGAGAACAGTGAAGTTCATGCTAGTAAAGCAGTCTTACCACCCTAAGAATGAAATGTTCAAGCAGAGACCTGAAGGAGAAACACTGCTTATATTGGCTAGTATATTTAAATAAATCCCACAAACAATAAAAGTTGTGGTGTCTGAAAAGCTCTTTTGCTTAGAAGTCTGACATGGTTATGAAAGATGTTTCTGTCATATTTATGTGCAATAATGGTGCTGGGGGGTTGTAATATAAATCCAAATAATATATGTGTCCCAGCGGAACCTTCCACTGGATCTGTATTGTGAAGTGTGAGATCTCATCTTTTTTTAATCCATGTTAATGGGAGAGAAAATGTTTTTTCAAGCTGCTTCTTTTTTAGTGTGGTTGCATGCATGTTAGCTTTTACAGTTGGTTGCTGGTACTGTTCATGACATAGTATATGTTGTCAGTATTGTAGCCTCAGAGACCATCATGCCAAAAGAAGATCCTTCTCTCATAAAAATATTACTGTTATTATAAAGAATAACAGTACTAGCAGTAGGGTAGCAGTTGTGGCATCAAGGTATGTTCCTGGTGCAGCTGTTCCAGTGAGATGCTAGTACCTGTGACAAGGGATTATTGTGACATGGTGGTGGTTTATGTATCCCATGGCTGAAGGCTGCCGAATTCTTTTTTTAAAATGGCTTTTAAGGACTTGGAACACTCTTAATTTCCATCTTTACAAAAGGGCAGGCACAGTAGATTGCATATGGTAAACAAAGGAACCAATCTGCAAGTGATAATTCTTCTTCTGAAATAAGTCTTTGATCTACCCTAAAAAGTAGGATATTTGAATGTTCTTTGCACTTACTCGGTGACTTTGAAAGTCCTCTGTGGACCTTTCTTGACTACTGCTAAATTAGCAGGGATGCGGTATTCCCAACTCAATCTCTTTCCACCTAAATGCAGAACCAATGTAAAACTTTGTCTGAAGAGGATTAAACTTTTAAAGCACTCAATGTTATTAAAAAGAGAGAGAGGAAAAAAGAGACAGAAATGACAGAAGCTTTATAGGTCAGAAAATTACATTCTTTTTCAGTCTACTCCTTTCCCCAAATCCAAGACTAGTTATTTACGAAACCATCAAGCACCACTGTTAACTAAGGTCTGTAATTTCCCACAGTTTCCTAGTTACCAGTGTGAGCTTCACTGTTGGATAGTGCTGCTTTCTGCTCTTCTTTTACTTCACCGGGCTTTGAACATTTACAAACCCTTTAGAGAATTGCTGCGTTTATGTGGGATCTAAGGAACTTTATGTAACCTGAGAAAACATCAAGAAATCAGTAAAATGCTACAAAGTGATAGTGGTTTAAGCTTGATGTAAATGTTGATGCTGCCTTTGCTGTTATTTATGGTCTTTTTCTCTAGCTTTTTGTAATGAATTCTTGCAGAAATCCCCTTGTACTGCTATCTTAGAGCATAGTCCTAGTTCCAGTGAGTTCCGTTTTTCTGTAGCAAGTTCGTTAGTTTTCTAGAGCCAGTCACCTGAATCACATGTTTTGAAACACAGTAGAAAACTAATCTTCAGTCTCTGATAATAGTTCCAGTTTTGGTTTGGGGTTTTTTTGTTTGTTATGATTATATCTGTTTATACGTGTTCTGGAATGAAAGGCAAGATAAGATCTAAAAAAAGCACCTAATATGTGAGGCATGGAACAGTTTATTTCATAATAGCTCCAATTCACACAAATTACATTTCTGCATTTCACCAGCCTTTAAACAGTATGTATCTTTCACAGTAATTTTAGGGGAAATCGTTTGTTGTGTAGGAGCAAAATTGTTAACTGCAGAGTTCATCTAGAGTCTCAGAATCTTTCAGGGTTTCTGGAACCTTTCTGAGCTGCAGAATGTCACAAATGTGAGGACCTAGGTCTTGTATATGTCAAATCATAGAGTCATATCATAGAATAGTTGAGGATGGAAAGGACCTTAAGATCATCCAGTTCCAACCCCCTGCCATGAGCAGGGACACCTCACACTAGACCATGTCACCCAAGGCTCTGCCCAGCCTGGCCTTGAACACCGCCAGGGAAGGAGCATTTACCACTTCTTTGGGCAACCTATTCCAGGGCCTCACCACCCTCACAGTAAGGAACAACTTCCTTATAATCTTAGAAGCTGTAGTGACTATAGCAGAAGTTTGATGGATTCAGCACAGTAGTTGTTTCTCGTGTATGCATGGAACTTTGTAAGCATTTTTGACCCTTGCACAGTTCAGATAAAATATGAATGATCAACTGGAAATGAGTGTTGAGACTACCAGATTTTATTATAGGACAATAGAATGTCATAGAATCATAGAATAGTTTCGGTTGGAAAGGACTTTAAGATCATCTAGTTCCAACCCCCCTGCCATGGGCAAGGACACCTCACACTAAACCATCTCACCCAAGGCTCTGTCCAGCCTGGCCTTGAACACTGCCAGGGATGGAGCATTCACAGCTTCCCTGGGCAGCACATTCCAGTGCCTCACCACCCTAACAGTAAAGAATTTCTTCCTTATATCCAAACTTCCCCTGTTTGAGTTTTAACCCATTACCCCCTTGTCCTATCACTACAGTCCCTAATGAAGAGTCCCTCCCCAGCATCCCTATAGGCCCCCTTCAGATACTGGAAGGCTGCTATGAGGTCTCCACGCAGCCTTCTCTTCTCCAGGCTGAACAGCCCCAACTTTCTCTGCCTGTCTTCATACGGGAGGTGCTCCAGTCCCCTGATCATCCTCGTGGCCCTCCTCTGGACTTGTTCCAACAGTTCCATGTCCTCTTAATGTTGAGGACACCAGAACTGTACACAGTACCCCAAGTGAGGTCTCACGCTCCTTTTGATGCAGCCCAGGATACTGTTGGCTTTCTGGGCTGCAAGCGCACACTGCAGCCGGCTCATGTTCGTTTTCTCATCAACCAACACCCCCAAGTCCTTCTCCGCAGGGCTGCTCTGAATCTCTTCTCTGCCCAACCTGTAGCTGCGCCTGGGATTGCTCTGACCCAGGTGTAGGACCTTGCATGGTTAAACTTCATGAGGTTGGCATCAGTCCACCTCACAAGTGTGTCAAGGTCCCTCTGGATGTCATTCCTTCCCTCCAGGGTATCAACTGAACCACACAGCTTGGTGTCATCGGCAAACTTGCTGAGGGCGCACTCAATCCCACTGTCCATGGCAGCGACAAAGATGTTGAACAAGACCGGTCCGAACACCGATCCCTGAGGGACACCACTCGTTACTGGTCTCCAGCTGGACATTGAGCCATTGACCACAACTCTTTGCATGCAGCCATCCAGCCAGTTCTTTATCCACCAAGTGGTCCATCCATCAAATTGATGTCTCTCCAATTTAGAGACAAGGATGTCGTGTGGGACAGTGTCGAACGCTTTACACAAGTCCAGGTAGATGACATCAACTGCTCTACCCCTGTCCATCAGTTCTGTAGCCCCATCATAGAAGGCCACCAAATTGGTCAGGCAGGATTTCCCCTTAGTGAAGCCATGCTGGCTGTCACCAAGCACCTTGTTGATTTTCATGTGCCTTAGCATGCCTTCCAGGAGAATCTGCTCCAAGATTTTGCCAGGCACAGAGGTCAAAGGATTCATGCAAAAATACTTCCAATAGAATTTAATAAAGAGGATAACATTTTGTAGTAGTTTGGAGAGCAGTATAGCAAACTGAAATACTACATCATTCTCTAGAGGCTAGTGCCTGGTCTAACCTTTAAAAACAAAGCAAGGAATGGAGGTACTCTAAATGTCCTATTACATACTTTTGCCAGATTATTTGGAAAATAGTACTACTGTTTTCTAATAACATAGTCATCACTGTTGACTACATCAGAAAACCAAGACAGGAAGTTACTAACTAGACATTTCTCAATAGAAGTATATTCTCTCTGTGAGACAACTGCTTGGAAGAGAAGTGCTGTGTGTTAGAACGTTTCCATGTTTCACTTTCAAACTTGAGAGCTAATAACTGGCTTTGAAAGAGGTGTCTAGGATAACCACCTTCCTTTCATTAAAATGTTAAATGTATCTAAAATTAGTTGACTCTCTTTGTTTAGGTAAGTTTCAAGATAATAGGTATGGAGAGAATTTCCTCATTTATCAGGATGGAATGCTTTGAAATTCCTAAAAGAAGAGCATTATTCAATTCTTTTAAACAGATACGAAGGGCATCGAATGAGTGGGTTTGACCAGTGAGTAAATACTCATTTTCTGTGTTATGTGACTTGAATTTTCAACAACTTCAGGCCCAGGTTTGAGCCAACAGAATTAAGTGAATTCACTCATAGGGAGGTGGGGAGTGTAGATCCTTGTTTTCAACTTTGGTATGGTCTTCTCAGCATAAACCACCATTTCTGTAACATACTGAGTTAGCTTGCATTGTTGTAACTCTTTGAATGTGGGCAGTGTAATCACTAACACACAAATGGATGAATGCGTCTTTAGACTGTATCATTAACTTGATATCATTGTGCCATGTTCTCAGTGTGCAAAATGGAAATAGCTTTTTCCATGTCAAGTATTTTTAAAGAGCTTTTGAAACTTCAAATGCGGAAGTTTTCAAGTGCATGGTGGTGTAATGCAATCCCTCTTGAGAGTGTTTGTTTTCATTGTTGTAATTGATCTGTTGAGTGAACTTTGTCATCTGACCTTAATAATGTGGCAAGACTTCTGTCCACAGGCACATGAAAACAGGAAAGTGCACTTGTGCCAAAAGCAAGATAAAGTATCATATAGCACTGTACACAGACATACAAGAAAGATGTTAGATCCCATGGCAGGGATTCTGCTTAACTCTTGTTTCATCTGGTCTGGATTAAATTAACACATCAAGTTCTTCCTTTTTTTTCCCTCACCATCTTCAATAGCTGATTTTTGCCTACATAGATGCCTCTGGCCATGCCTGCTGTATCTTGGGGGGAAAAAGCTTTTGTCCAAGAAAAAGATAGTGGAGCAGCTTTTCTGTATGCATCTCATTTTACCTTTTGTCCTTTAAGCGTAGGTGAGAGAGTAACTTGAACAAAACTGTACACATCTTTAAAAAGTGAATCAAGACTACTGTGGTAGATCAGGTAGTAGGACTCTTGACAGAGCTAAGCAAACTCTGCTTTCAGCTCTCTTGGCTTTAAACTGTCAGAGGGGAGGGTTAGGTTAGGTATTAGGCAAAAGTTCTTCCCTGTGAGGGTGCTGAGGCGCTGGCACAGGGTGCCCAGAGAAGCTGTGGCTGCCCCATCCCTGGCAGTGTTCAAGGCCAGGTTGGACGGGGCTTGGAGCAACCTGGTCTAGTGGAAGATGTCCCTGCCCGTGGCAGGGGGTTGGAACTGGATGAGCTTTAAGGTCCTTTCCAACACAAACCAGTCTGGGATTCTATGAAACTGTTTTCATTTGCCAAAAAGGGATATCTGTGCTTCCATGCTACTGTTTGGGGGTTTGGCTGGTGTTCTTTTAAACATCTCTATAGTAAGTATTAACTGCTTAACTTTTACCAATTCTTCACCTTTAATATGAATGCATGTAGATTGTGTGTTAGCAACATTTTGCCAAGAGAACATAATAAACTGGAAGCACTTTTTCCCCTTGTTGTGAATTAATGTGGAACTCCTCACTCAACCATGCTAGATATGACAGTAAACATGTTCTAGTACTATAATGACAAGATAGAGTTGTTTTCATTTGTGAAGAGATGAAGCTGGTATTTATAAGCCATCTTTGAGAGATGCAGCTTTACTGTTCTGGGTAATAGAGGCTCCTACTTGACAGAGATGAAACTATTTCAATCAGCTATTTTAATGCTCAGAGCTTCAAATCCTGGCACAAATTTTGCCTTCTTTGAATCTCAGTACAAGTGTGGATATATTGCTTCTCATGTGTACACTTTCCTAAGCATGTATTTCATTTCTGGATATTATTTTCTTCTTTCCCCCTCCCTAAGATATAATTGACCCAGCTATCCTGCGCCCAGGTCGACTGGATAAAACACTGTATGTGGGTTTGCCACCACCTGAAGATCGACTTGCTATTTTAAAGACCATCACCAAAGTGAGTATTTGGAAATAAATCCCTCTCTCAAAGCTTGGTGGAATGATTTAAGACAAAGTGAAATTTTGCAGAGAATTGCAGGATCCTGTCTCAGGAAACACTTGCAGATATTACATGAGGTCATAAAAATAAACCATCAGTTGCATCTGCTGTTAAAATTGCTCTGAGCTGATAAATCTTGAGTAAAGCAAACATGGTAAACATAGAAGCTGCTGCCTTAGTAGTTACAATTTGAACAGATTTAATGAAAAGATTCCTATCTTTTGTGAGTAATGGCCCTAGAAGCGTTTTGCAAACTTTTTTGGGGGGGGTTCCACACGTTCAACCAGGATGATTCACAAGCTCCAGCTGAATTTGCTCAACAGCAATTCTGCCACTTAGTTGCCTTTAGGATTAAAGGAATCTTGTGGTGATAAAGGTTGTAGGTCAAAATGTGAAATATGGTGGGTCCTCCCTGGGGTTAATGACACATTCTGCCACTTCAGAGATGTGGATTATAGAATTCTAAGGAAGAATTTCTTTACTGTGAAGATGCTAAGGCAGCGGAACAGATTGCCCAAGCAAGCTGTGAATGCTCCATCTCTGGCAATGCTCAAGACCAGGCTGGATGGAGTCTTGGGTGATATGGTCTAGTGTGAGGTATCCCTGCCCATGGCAGGGGGGTTGGAGCTGGATGAGCTTTAAGGTCTTTTCCAACCCAAACCATTCTATGATTCTTTAAGTATTACAGCAGTAATCAAGGCCGTTAAAAAAGAACATGGAAATCATCATGAATTACTTGGATATTTTCTGCTTCTTCCAGTAGATCAGCAGCATTGGTTGTTAAAAGCAGGTATTCCGTCCAATTCTGTGGGTGTTTTTGTGAACTGCAGAGGAGACCAAGTCTTCACTCTAAGGAAAGTTAGCACTGTGTTATGAAGAGTGTGGCAAAAATTACTTCGCAACTTTGTAAAAAAGATAATTCAGACTCGTGTAAGCATAAAGTTGTGGTATAGGCAATAGTTAATCCCACAGGAGAATTCACAAAGTGAGAACTCATTCAAGCGTGTTCCTTCGTGCCAAAATAGTTGTTCCAAAAGTCAGACTCTTGTTACAAATTCAGGATGTTAGACTTTCCTTCATTTGTACTTCATGGAGGAAAAAGAAGTATGCCCCTATTTGTTCTTACCTCTAACTCAGTTAATTTTTTCTATATATTATGAGAATATTTCAGTTAAAACTTTTTACAACCTTCTTCTTAAAGATGGTTGCCTTTTAAAAGACCTAAAGAGAATCTGAGTGTAACATCCCTGAATCATCCTTCAAGCATACCATAAGGAATGATGGTTTTTATTTTACCACATTTATTTTTAAAGATAACTGAATGTGTTCTTTAAAAAATGGGTTTATATGATTGTTCTGCCTTAAAAGAAACAACCCTGTTCTTCTGGAAGAAATGGGTAGTAAGGGTCAGTCAGTCACTAGACTATCTAAGCAGAAAGCTTTTGGTACAGACTCTGCTCTGGTGTGTAACATGCCGGTCTTGCTCTCCCTAATTTTTGCTGGAGAATCTTTGGAGGTTTGTAGGATCTCAGGTGCTTTCACTGTAATCAGTGGTGTGGGGAAATAGTGCAGCAAAGGTTGGTGATGCAAGACTGCCTGGGAGAGGAAGGAGGCATTAAACAAAACTGGTTTCTTTTACTCTCTCATCAAATTGACCTGCTCACACTCTCACAGCCACATACAGTCACCAAGGTGCCTGCATCTATGTGGGTAATGCCAGGATCACTTGTGTGCTATACTGAGGATAAGGAACTCTGTGTTGTCCTCACTCATCTCTTGGCTTCCTCCTGACTGGCAGTGGCAAATAGTTGCTGGAAGTGTTTTCTAGATTCCCTTAAAGAACCAAACAGTTAAAATTGTGCTTACTTCAGCTGCCGTAAATCTTGGGCGAGGTTGCTGAGAAGTGTCTTTGCTCCCTCCTCCTGATAATGACACTGGCTACAGTCTGAATGTTGAGATCACACCAAGAGGAGTGGCCCATGGGATGTGGTAACCTTACCCTGTTACCAGAGGGTATTTCTGCTGACAAACCGTCTTTACTGTGGCCTTATCTGAACATGTGCCTTCTTGTGATACAGGCAACACATTGCATAGTGTTTACCAGCTTGGTTCCTGTGGATCCTGTCGTTGGTTATCAGGGCATGTTATTTTTGGAATGCCAGATACTTCCATGCATACTGAATTCATACCAGTCTTAATTTTATTACAAATCTTTGTAGTGATTGAGATGTCAAGTCTTTGATGGATTATTTTTCCTCAGTTCTTGAATTAAGAGGCCAGCAGAAATGAGATAAAACACTCTCTGAATGAGTCTTTGTGTGTTTCTATGTCCATTCCATGAGGAGGCTGAAGCTGCTCTCCCTTTACTACTTCTGCAGTTACCAGAGTTCTCATAAAGCTAGGCAAAGATTTGTTCTTAACACTAGCAATAACAAGACATAGGTTGTTATTTTCTTTAAAAATATATAGGAGTTATCTACAATAACAGCATGGAATATGGAGAGAGAAATATATGTTAAATAAATTGAAATACCTTGGCTTTGGTCAGATTTCATCCATGCATTCTAGGTAAGGAAATTTGAGAACAGGAGCACTTGCTTAAATATGTGCTCAGGGCTAGATGAACCCAAATGTTTGGTGCAAATGTGATGGTGACCGTATGCATTCCCAGGAATCCCTGAGGAATACATGCACAGGATGTGGAAACTGAAAATCGTTGCTGAGGGAAAACATGGATACTTACAAAGGCAGCACTGAGGAGTAAAGATTGGAGTAAAGGGGAGGTATAGGTTGTAAGGCACCCTGCCTAAATGTGGGTTGAAGCCTTGTTGTGAAATGAGAGAGTTCTATTTCAGTTAACTTGTAAAATCAGGCATTTTCAAATTGCATATTAATTATGCAAGAGAAGCATGTCTTCACACGTTTAGGTTACTAGTGTTAGTTACATTCCTGGAAGCTGTATCAGGCTTCTCTGGTGCACGTACTACTGAGCTTGTCTCCAAAGAAGGCAGATCAAAACCCTCAGACAATGCCCAACATGTTTGCTACTCAAAGCAATAGGTAAAACATTTCTCTTTAGCAAAGGTGGTGTCTGGCTTGCAGTCATGTACAATTACTGCAGTATCCCATATCAAATTGTATGAGGCTTCCTTGCTTCCAGGTTAAAGTCAAGATGTTGAAACATTTCAAGATGTTTCAAAATCAGGCTGTTCCTTTGTTTCTTTTGGTTTGTTTTCCACCCCCTCTTCCCTGACTGGTGTTCTGCCAAAGATTCATTCAGGATTGTTCCCATACTCAGCAATGGGTAAGAACTGCCCGGACTCGTGATTATTCTACTGTTACATATTCCAGGGGTTTAACTTGTCAGTTGCTATACATCTTGGGTTTCTTCCTTGTTGGAGGTATTGTAGGTATGTAGTAGTTCACCTGAAGAAGTCAGAAAAGAATTACATCAATTTGTGCATTTCTGTCAACTGATTTTCTGGCAGAAATGTATCCGTTGTATCAAGAAGTGTCCCTTCCCGTCTAAACTCAGGTGTTGTTTGATACTGTAGACATCTGGAATCTCTGTGCTACCGTGGTACTACTTCACTGTTGTCTAAGGGTAATGGATCTGCATGCTTACCGCGTTTGACAACTTGGTTGGCTAGTTTCAACAAATAATTTATAATGTTGGTCAACAGTTTTTTGCTGTTGGAGATGCAAAAATAATAACAAAGGAAACCACTTCTGGGATTTTTGTGGAGCAAGCAGTAATGATACAGAAGAGTAGTGTCGGTCTACAGGACTGTCTACAGTATGTGTAAGCTTTCATGAAATCCAGAATGGAAACCTTCTACGTTTGGAAATACATGTGTAGAAATAAAAGATGAACTAGTTCAGTCTTCAAGGTGATAAGACTAAATCTACATGCTTATTGCTTAGGTGTTCGATTTCAACACATAGTAAAACTAGAAGTTCAGCTAAGCAATGCTGTGATTGTAACCAGTTCCATAAGGCACGTTTCCATCCGGAACAGTGTCGGTGTTGCATTGCCCTGTGACAGGCTGGCCATCGTTTTCTTAGAGAAAATCTAATCTGTTGGTGGGAAGTTTAAAATTTAGCATTATTTAATATTTCATAATGAAATGTTTTTAAGGCTGCTTGTCCTTCTTGTGGGTTTGAGATTAAAAGCATTAATAAATGTGGATATTTCAGGGATTGTTTCAGAGCCCTGTATGATTTCTGATAGATGAAACTCAGTAATTTTGAGGATAGCATGTGTAAAAAATAGTGGTTTCTTATCTTCCTATTATCTCATCCCTTCAGGATGGCACCCGACCTCCACTGGATACTGATGTAAGCCTTGAAGAAATAGCTTACAGTCAACATTGTGATTGTTATACGTGAGTAGCTTCTAGTTTTGACTTTAATATTTAATATGCAGTGCTAAAGATCTTCTGATGTGTAAGTATGTTTGTTATGTTGCTATTATTAAGACAGTGTCTTAACTTTTAGGGTTCATAAACCTTCTCCCTTACACTACTTTTCTTGCTTTCAGTTAGGCTTTTCCCAAGGAGTCTGTAGGCGTATACGGATTCTAAGGTCTCTTTCATCTGGAATAGTCCTCTTCATGTTGTAAATACAGATCAGCAGAGGCCTCTTGGTTTTGCCTGGCTTTATTTTCTCATCTTGCATAATCTGAGGATAAAAGAGCCCTCTAAATTGTGGACCCATATACAGTGATGATGAAAAGCAAATTGGTTTAACAACCATAACCAGCTCCTGTCAGAGAGTTGAAAGCAGTGTGCTTGACAAAGCAGTGAGGGCCTATTTCAACTTGTGCTTTGGGAATACCAAGGCATGTGTTTTAGGAAAGCTCACTAGCCGTATCTGTCAGAATAAAGTGTAGTTGCATTCTACAAAACTTCAAAAAGCTTTAATCTATTAAATGACTTATTAATAGTTCATGATTCTCTGGAGTACCCAGAAGTTAAAGTTGCTTGTCACAACATTACTTTTGAATTAAGGAATGGAGGCTATCATCAATAATGATTTCTAGTTTGTCATTGTTTCATACTTGGGAAAGATCAGTACCTTTTCTTTCTCTGCCCCTTTCACTCACTGTCATTTGGGGGGGTGTTTGGTTGTGGGGAGTTTTTTGTTTGGGATTTATGGTGGGTTTTGATTGGTTTGGGATCTTTTTCTTTGGTTTTCTGTTTGGGGTTTGTTGTTGGGGGTTGGTTGTGGGGTTTGGTTTCATTATTTTAATACAGCAGCATATCTGGCACCCACAAATGAAGCATGGGGAGTTAACTGAGAATTGTCCTTGGTTCAGTGACTTGCACCAGTTTAAAGGCTTGTGAAAAGTCGAACAGCTGGAAACTAGATGCAAATCTTTAGAATGATTGATCTGACCCTGTTTTCTTGATACTATTATTTTATGAGCATATTAACTGTTGATGCAGCTTTGAGCAAGGCAACTCCCTTTTGTAATGGGTGATTCCATTTGAATCTTTCATAAGATTGATAGGAAAAAAAAATGTATCCTGTTCCCACCAAATGGCACAGTATTAATCAGTCCTTTGGCATTTTTAAGGCTGTTAAATGGGGGTTTTGTCGCTTCCCTTGTTCCCATTTATTTGATCTTAATCTATGATTAGGCTCTGGAGGATGTCAGTCCATAACGAAGGCTGCAGCACTGTGTAGCTCTTGTCCCTCTTTCCAGTGTTCTGAAGATTATTCTTCATGACAGCACAACCCATCTCTTACCGTGATCTGTAGTGTTTTGCCTTTCTGCATGCTGTCAGCAAAAGACAAGAGGGTTTATCCTACAATAACCTATTCTGTTTGTATCTGTAGAGGAGCAGACCTTTCCGCTCTAGTGCGTGAGGCTTCAGTTTGTGCCTTAAGACAGGAAATGGCCCTGCAGAATACTCAAATCAAGAAAGGTAAGCAAGCTTACAGAAATCTTAACTGAATATGGAGAAGATGAATGGACTATAAAGTATTTAAGGTCGTTCAAGACAAGCACAAAGGCTGACCCAAACAAAAATTGTCGGATTTGTTTCAAGAACACATAAGCATCTTTGAAGTAATTGCAGGGGAGAGTATAGGAAAAACTGGATATGCTGCAGGTTCACCATATTTTCTTCCTAAAAGAACTGAGCCTTGTAACCCTGAAGAAAATTTTATGTTAAACTGTAGCAGTATAATAGTGTGTCTATGTATGTATATACATACTATTGTAGTAGTATAAACTGACAATTCATATACTAGACTGAATACACCGTTGCCAAATTTCCACACCACCATCAAAGACTAATTATACTGACTTATTTGCAGATTTGAGTCCATTTTTAACTGCAGACATACTGATCATATACCTTTGGAATTCAGTTGTGTTGTTTAACTGAATACTTGCATCTAGTGTACTGGTGCTTGGAAAACCTGAGTGCCATGTTTCATCTCAGGTGTTGAGCTCATCAAGAGCTCTTGCCAGGACTTTAACAGGGAATTATAAATAGTTTCAAGTACAATGTCTGCCTTTTCCATATCTCTCTGCAATTTTAAGTTCCATTTTCCTGGCTTTTTTCTTTTTCTATACAGATAGGAAAATATAATTGGAAATTGAAGCTCTTGATATAAAATGTGCATCTAGATTTGTTTTTCCAGTAATTTTGCTTGTTATTTTACCTTTAAGTCAAAATGCAAAGCTAAGATGGAGTTGTGACTTTTCACATTATGTCCTTGGAAAACATCTTAGACATCAGAGGCATAATGAAAGCCTAAGAACCATGCTGGAATTTTGATGGCTTTGATTCATTCTGTTTGATCTAGTAAATATCCGGTCTCATCTGGTTTTTAACAGCAGTAGGTTAACAGAGCAGACTGTTTGCATTTCTTGTTTTGAGGAACTAGTGTGTTGGTTTAGAGTGGGGGAAAACAAAGAAACAAAGTAGGACAGCCTTCACGGTTGTGTGACTTGGATACCCATTTTGTTTACTGTAGATGATAAAAGCTTCTGATTTGAGATGGAAATTTCCGAGTTTATCCAGTTTGTTTTACAAGTAGGCTTATAAAATACAGCAGGCTTGAATCAGTCAGAGATGTTCATCACATGAATTCAGCATCCACAATTACAATTGCAGCCTGAGCACTTACTGTATGGACGTGTAGGCAGCCAGCAAGTCTGTAATAGATGCCTAGCTTGATCTGCATGTTTATAGCAGCTGCCTATTTGGGATGTCCTTGAGTTTGGATTTCCAAGCTGTCAGCCCTGGCTGGTGGTTTTGTTCATTTATCTCTTCAAAAGGGTAGTATGTGTACACAGACTGGAGAATTTCTTCCTTCAGTGTTACTGTAAGTGCCTCCCCTCCCATCCTCTGTGCATGCCTGTACATGGGTGATGTGTGTCCTTATCAGGCAGTAGTTTGGACTCACCTGGCTGAGATCAGTGCTGCTACTTTCTGTTCTGTAGAAAGTCTGTGGCAACTTCCTGGTTGTACCTGGTGTTCTCCCTCTAGATCAGTTCAGGGTTGTGGGGTGTTTTTAACACTCAGCAGTGGTTTGCTTGAAGCAACTTGTTTATAGTGAAATGGAAATGTATCCTTTTTGTGGTATTTTTCACAAGAATCCATAACTTCTACATCCAACTTGAACAGCTGATGAGGTGGGTCACTGCAGTCTGGGAATTGCCAGATACTGCAGCTTGGTGTAAAAGAGGGGGGAATCCTAACAACAGTCAGTCAGGCTTTCAGTTTAGAATCGTGCTGGAGTTTCTCATCACTGGTCCAACATCTGACCACTCAAAAGAGTTCAGTATCACTTGCAAAATTGGAGTTTCCACTTGTGGCTCCCTTCCCCAAACCACTGATCAACATGCTGTATAGAACAGATTTTAGCACCAGTGCCAGAGCAGGACGCTACTGCTGCTTGTTCCCTATCCTGAAGAGTGACCATTAATCCTTATACTCTATTTCATACCCTTTAATCAGCTTTTAGTCCACCAAAGGATAGATTCTACAATCCCTTGGAGTTTACCAGTCCTTTCTACAGTCCCTTGGAGTTTACCAGTCCTTTGGTGGCTGAAACAAGTTACTTGATTTAGCCAGCAGTTCTGCAGTTTCATAGCCAAGTTCCTTCAGCACCTTTGGGTGAACACCATCTGGTCCTGCTGACTTACTGTTAACCTCATACCTGCCCCATTTTAGTTTAATACTTCCTGTATATTATTTCAAATAGATGTAGTTACAAAGAACATATAGGGTATGAGGAGTTCTTAATACTTCCAGCTGAAAAGGCAAATTCACTGACCTTCTAAACTATGACCTTACCCCAGGCCGGCCTTTTTGGATATTGTAAGATATCCAGTGACCCCACAGCACCTGCATAGTCTATAAAGCTGATCTTAAGAAGGAGTGTATGAGACTTCTTGTTAAAGCAGTTAAGAGCGAGTGTGGTTTAACAACTGAGATTAAAGTTTTGTATCTTTGCAGTTGAATTTGAAAAGCAAGATATGGTCCTTGTTTGATACTTTCAAATTAAGAGGAAAGGGAACCAGCTATCCTTCCTTCACTCATCTATGTAAATAGCTAAAAAAAACAACTATTTCATATTTGGTTAAGTTATACCTGTTGATGTATCAGTTGTTTTAACTGATAAAACACTCGTACCTACTTAAGACTAAATGGTTTTGTCATCAGAAATCAAGGCAAACTATGTAAAAAAGTGAGACAACAAGGTATAGATTACTGACAGCTGAATTCTCCATGGGATCAAGCCTTGTGCCTGTTTTTATCACACAATAAGCATGAAGTAGCCTAACTTACTTTCAGTAAGAGGTAAAACTACTTTACCTAGCAGTAGATAAAAGCGTGTTTATGCCTAGCCATAGCTACCAGCAGTTTCACCTTGACCTTTTCTGATAACTATGTCCTTACTGATACCGATCGTCCTAGTTGCTGAATGCTGTTTATTCCTTTCCTCTCTCCCTATAGCTGAGGCTGTATCTTGTTTCACAATTTGATTAAAGAGTTACAGGCTTAAAAACAAAACTGAAAGCAGAATTAAATTCTCATAGCTTCATTTTATTATTTTTGGAGTTTTGATGACTCAACCTTAAAGTAATTTGGCTTCTGTGAAAGACCCACATTGAACTTTCTTACTGTAAGTAGGGTTTCCTTAGAAAAATAAGTTGAAATGATGGTATTTTTAGTCTACACCTTTATACTGGTATAACATCATACGGTAATGGGAATCTTGAATAAGAGCTTCAGAGAGCTAAGATAAGAAAGAGCAGTTAAGGACATGTGTTTAGTTCAATGAACTTTAACCCTCATCTTTACTTTTCAAGCAGGTAGTCATAATTGTAGACTATTTGCTGTTCTGTTTTATACCTTAAATAAGCTCTTATTTAATTTAGTGCTTTCCATTCACTACATAGTTTTTGTTATATCAGCAGATTGTTCTAACTCAGACAAATACATTAATGAGGAGTCCTGACAGTTTTTTCATGTCAGCACACCCCACTTCACATTACAAAGGTAGCAACAGTACACATCTGTGCAAACAAAATCATCGTAATGAAATGCATTTAAAATTCACCAGGTTGACTAAAGACATACTTTTTGTACCTTTATCACATCTAATATCTGGGTATAATATTAGGATTGCAATGAATCAGTATGGTAATGGTATCTTGGGATTCTTAAGTCTAAACAAGGCTCTTGCATGGGAGAGCAGAAGATTCTGTAATTTGAGGTGTGCATATGTCTTAGCATACTAAAAAAAACCAACCCCAAAAACCTGTTCAGAAGGTTATGATTAGGAATAATTAATGCAGCAATCCACAGTAAGGTCAAAAAGGCAACTTGCATAAACTTAAACACAGTTGTAGAACTGAAAGCTTGCATCACTTCTGGGTAATGCCAGGCAGTACTATAAAGTCAATTATTAAGGAATTGAGCATCCTGTAGTAAAGCTGGAATGATAAAATATTTTCTAGGTACTTACTCACTAGCACTCTATATTGAAGTTTAATAATAAATATGTATAGAAAATAGACCCCAGAACTGAAAGCAGCAGGATTTGAGGCACTCACTTCCAGAAGGGCTGAGGAACTTGAATTCTAACTGGATTTGATGCAAGCTGCAGTTAAGTCAGATCTTTAAAAATGAAACTCTCAGTCTGCAGGTAAAAACTTAGGTAAATACCTAACAACTTTCTGAAACAAACATTCTTTGGCTTAAGGTGCAGGGACTAGAGGGATTAAGATCTTGTCTAAAATCTTAAACAGGAGGCTACGAGTTCAGGTGGTCTTAACATTGCTGAATTTGATCTCATCCAACTGACTAGCACATGCAGTTGGCTAGGTTCCAGGAATGCTGCCTTGAAATGCACACAACAACAGCTTGATTGTCACTTGGCTGCAGTTTTAACACATTATTATGCTCTGTTCTCTAAGGAGAAATCAAGATTTCCCATAAACACTTTGAGGAAGCTTTTAAGAAAGTGAAATCTTCAGTATCAAAAAAGGTAAGATAAGCTTTAGGTATGCAGGACTCCTTACTCCTCTGGGAAGGATACTCTTTATGCTGGAACCTGGTGGGAATAGTAAAGGTTGCAGTATACTTGCATGTATTTCAAACTGACACTACCTGTTTCCTGCGTTAAACAAACCTAATGCTCTTTATAAGGTCAGAAATTGAAGTCTCTCCTTTCAGCTGCAGATGATGCCTTGCATGTAGCTAGATTACCGTGCTATCGAGGTTATATTTTAGTATGGCACCTTGGACTTCTCACGGACATTCCTGGATTAATTATTGAACTGGACCTAACCTCTTAGCTGTGGAATATTCACCTAAAAGCCAAGGCCTTTAGAGTGCTCCACATCTTGCTATCACCTTTTTCCTCCCTAGATGAATGTGACACCCAAAGATGCTCAGTCATTTTTGTTACTGTGCAAAAAATCATTTTGAGATAGGACATAAAAGATGAATGGGTTATCAGTCTTTTCATTGTTTGCATTTGTCAAGGAAGTTTGTTTTAAAAGTTTCCTTATGACCTGTTCTTTTCAATGACTGAAAGGAAAGCTGTTCAATCATCTCTGTTACCAGAACTGAGAAGTTAATATATATAGAAATTGTTACTGCTGTAGAGCTCTCCTGGATAGGTCTCTCTGTTGCCAGGAGTGTACTGCAGCCAAAATAAACTAGTACAGTCACTTTGAACACTGGCAAGAGAGAAGTTAAACTAGTTAACACTTTCCTTTCATTGTTATTGTATATTGATGGTCATTAACCTTTTCTGAAAGTTAGAAGTGATCTTTGGCACCAAGGCCCTTTAAAGATGGTACTTGTAGTTTTCTTCCCCTTTGCTAATCACTAAGCAAACAGCTAAAAAGAAACAGCCACAAAAACTTAGAGATGTTTTAACTTAATGATCACTTAGGACATATTCCTTCTGATTAAAAATCAACCAGAAATACAATTCTGCATCTCAAAGGCAGCTTAAATATCCCATCTCAGAGACCTATATTTCAGATACAGCCATCTGAAGAATCTTCAGTTAGATATTTTGAAGTACAGTATACTCATCTGCCATTTACAGATGCTACTTCCTACCTGCTAGACAGATTCAGTCTGACAAAAACTCCCCCTCCATACCTTCCTATGAATACTGGAAGGTAAAAGCTGCATCTCACCAATTTAGTGCTTCTAACTCTTCTTTTCCCTCCTGTACATATCTGAGTTCTGTTAGCATGCTTTTGGTTTCCCCAGTTGACTCAAATAAAAATAGGTTGTTCTTAAAGCTATGGACAGGCATCCCATTCTGAAGTCAGTTATTTCAGTGCAAGTTAACATCTTTTAAGTATTCTGTTACTCACAATTGTCATTTAAAGTGCCTATTGAAAAGTATGAAGGAACAGTTAAGTTAGATTATCAAAAGAAGATCCTCTCAGTTCACTTTGGCAAAACTAAATTAGGAAGTAAAGTGTCAATTCAGCAGCTCCCCAGAAAAGAAGCAGTATCTTAGTGAAGCTGTAATTCTGAACCTAACATGGCAATATTAAGTATAAGAGCTCTTGCCAAAGGGATCTATTAATTACACATCACTGGTGACTGTCACTGGAGAACCTCACTCATGAGGCAGGGTAGTGGGGTTTTGTCATATTTAGGTTTTTGTTTGCAAGTGTTTTAAAATACAGCTAAGTGGGTCATACAGCTGGTTTGTTTCACTGTAAATAGCACATATAAAGTCACTTTTATACAGTGCATGATTTTTTACCGTTGTCTAAAGCTTATTTTTCTTCTTGGCACTGTTAGGATCAACTCATGTATGAAGAACTACGTCAGTCACTGTGCAGGTGATACATTTGGACAATCCCCAAGAAGCTTACTCTGCACTGGTGGAGAGCTTGGCAATACCTGTGCCTGATTTCAAGAGACAGGTTGGAAAGAAACTGTGCTAGATCTCTCTGAAGTTTTTAAACTGTACCTGGAAAAAGGTCCCAATGACCTACTGCTCTAAACCATCTTTAACTATTTCCAGATTAAAAAATAGAACACGCTTCCTGCTTATGTTTTTAAAAGTGAATGCTTTTAGCGCTAAAGAGCTAATACCACTCCTATATTTGGTGCCCTTAATCAGGAAGCCCTCAGAGACAGAGCAACAAAACATTCCAGTGTTTACACTGTTCAAATAGCTGTTTTAAACCATAAATGAAAAAAGCCAAGGTTGCAGGAAGGAAAACTCTTGAAGAATCACTGGGAGGACAGAGCTGTGCAATCAGACTGGGAAAGTGCTGCACTCTGTGTTACCATAACATGAATCATGCCTTTTACAGATACACTGGCACATTATGACTGTGTTGGCAGGTTTCTTGGAGCTTCCAGCAGCTTCCTTCACCTTAACAAAAGAACTACCCACAGATGGCAAACTGTCTTAAAGTTACCTAGGAAAGAGTAAAGTTTGGAAGTGCTGCAACGGTGTAGTTTAACAACCACCTAAGAAACATTTGAAACTGTAAGATTTATCTAGCAAGCTGATTCTTAATTAGCTGACAAGTCTGCAACAAAACAAATCTATTATGCATTTGAGTTTCCATTTCCTCTGGAGGAAGGAAAAATGTTACAGATTTTGAGACACAGGGTAATAACAGCCTCAAGTTTTTTAAATACAAAAAAATTCCATCTCAGGAAGAGGTCAACTTTCATCATCAAACTGGGAAATAGCTGAGTTAAGACAAAACACTGAAATGTGACAGACACAGCAATTGACTTCTGAAACCTACAAACCCTCGTGGATTTTTTTACCAGTGCCATCATTCTACAGCATTCTTTAATCATTAATCTCAGTTCCTATCTTTGATCAATCTTAAGCTTAGTAAAAGCACTACAACCAGTCAAGGATCAGAAAAGGAAATTTCTGCTAGCAAATTTCATAGTTTTAACTTCAAATGCTACTTAATGAAATTTCAGTGTAAATAGTAAAAGTTTCTATAGCAACATTTATCCTGTAAGCATCCCCCCCCCTTCTTTAACATACAAGAGGGAGGTGATCATTTCATCTCCTACTTGAATCATAATTCATTGAAGCAAATCATCATGCTTTGCTGATCTAACTTTAAAACTGACCTTGCCTTGAGGGGGAACAGTGCCTTACATCTCTGATTCTTCTCCAAATTGCCATCCGACAAAAGATCTCGCACATTTTTCCCCAGAAGTAAATGGGGAGTGGGGGGAGATAATTACAAATTACTCATCCCCACAGGCTTGTGTTTTAAGAATGCTGACACTCATGGCAGATTGTACTTACCACTGTGATTTTTGCACAAGGTGAGATACTCCAGTGACTCAAGCTGGGGCCCATATGACTATCAGATGAAGTCCTCTGATAATTACAAGTAAATCAGGCTTGGAGCTGCAGAAGTCCAACATGAAGGATCATTATTTTATCTCAGAGTAGTTTCACTTGTGCGTGTTCATTACTGTGAGGCCATGCAATTAGGACATCGGTTAAGTAACGTAAAAATCATACCTAGATGTCACGTACAGAGCTATAGAGGAACCACCTATGTCACAAACTTCTTCCTCTTTTAGCTCCAAGTCTACAACTTGACTTTTTTTTTTTTACCACCTTTCTTAAATAAAAGCTCTTTGCTTTATAGGAAGCTACAACTGTATGGAAGCAAACTGTGAACTCTTAGTACAGTAATACACTCTGTTTACTTGGGTGTTTCAGAGTTGACCAATGCAAAGAACCAAACAGGAGCCCCATGAAAACAGTATATGGTATTTCAAATGCCAGTTTTGAAAGTGTCACCCATTCTGCCTTTAGAGACGGTAATTCTAAAGGCCATCACTGATTTTACCTGCCCGTGGCACACACTGGTTTCAAAACCAACTACATAAAAAATAAATTGGGAATTAAAAAAGGTCTAATTGTAATAAATATGTTATCCTTTTTCCAGGAAAGGAAAATACATACACAAAATGTGTAACTTTCAAGGTGTCTAATGATCATTCTTAACACATGGTGGTGGAAATAGGATGCAGGAGGGTTTGAATTTACAAGAAAACTTGAAGTTGAAAGGCAGAAGAAGCCAAGTCAGTCAAGTGTCCATGTACTGTTTGCTTACCTTGGCTGGGCTACATGTGTGTCAAGGAGCAGACAAGGACAGGCAGCTGAACTCTATTTGACTGTTCACACAAGAATGTGGTGCACCCACACTGCTGCTTTTTCTTGAGGGAAATTCTGCTTAGGCTATTGTACTTATCACTGAAAAAAAACCAACTTGATTGATAAGAAATAAAATGCAAGAGCCTTTGTACACAGAAGATGGGAGCTGCTTTAAGGAAGAAGTCTTTTCACACAATACAGAGACCACTACTTTGTTCTGCATATGCAGCTACCACCTCTCCTGGCAGACATGCCTAGAGTTTTTTTCCCCCTCTAGTCATCTTGTTTGTTGTGACAAGCTCACAAAACTGTTCATCATGCCATTCTCCTCTCCCTTTTCTTGAGGCTAGCCACATATCTAAATCACAGTGCTGATATGACACACAGGCTGTCCCAGAGCATATTAGATGCCAACTTGAGCTTGGATATGGGGTAGAGGCAGTGCAGGGGAACTGTTAGAGAAGAAACACAGTTTGCATTCTTGGCTCAGTAAGAAACTTTTTCAATATCTCTGTCCTTACTAAAGTCTTGGATAGCACTGCAGGCTTGATTGTGAAATAAAGAATTTGATAGAGAAGAAATAATTGTGTACATGGAGTTGCAGGTTGCTATACTAAAGACACAGCTCCATGATTCAGACACACCTATTTGTCAGACTTTTCCTAGGACCTTGCAGAAGCAAACTTGGCAGACCCAGAAGTAGCTCCTGTGCTTTGCAGTCCGCAAGCTAGAACAGTAGAACTTTTTTTGCCTTTAACTCTTTTGAGTCTCTTCAGTTACAGAGCAGTACCCTTCCTAAAAGCTGTGTCTTAGACCACTGACCATCCAAGATCACTACCTGAAAGCGACTTTTCACCTGTTTGTCCAACAGGGTTAGAATGGCAGCCCGCAGCATTGACATTATTGCTTCTAGAACCTCATCATTAAATAAGGAATGAACGGCTTCAAGTTCTACTGTTGCTGCCACACTACTTCATCTGATACAACAATAAATGCTGAGGAAGCAAAGTTGAACCACTGAAATCATTACCTAACAGCGTCTACATACCTAGCACAGATCCATTTCTCAGCATCTGTAGACTTTTAAGTGTGCATTTACATGCTGGCTGGCATGTAATGACTTAACCAAATGAATTCTGAGACACAAAACTAAAAGTCTTAACTACTTTCCAGCTCACCTCTGGTTCCAGGTAGGAAGTCTTGCCCTGGATCTGAAAGCATGGAGCACTGTAGCCAGAAAGATGCACCCATTTAACACATGTTAATTGTCACTCTTATGGAGCAGACCGGTTCAACAGCAGAACAAGAATGCCAGAGGCAAGAGTTGTTTTGAAAGAGGAACATACCCACGCCTGTCCTGTGGGAAAACTCATGCCTAGTATGATGAGATTCCAGGATGCATTACTTATTCCACTTCAGCAGCTTCAAATAATTAGGGGTGTGTGTGTTAAAAGCCATGCAAGGCAGTTTATTCTGAAAACTAAGTTACTTTGAAGGCCCTGAAGGGGATTCAGAGCTCTGCACGATTTAACTGCAGCTAAAATACTTGGATGACATGTTTAACACAGCTGACCCAAAGTCAGCTCTGTTTTGACAGTTACGACTCTTGGCTGATTTCATATAAAGGAGAGGTTTGCCAAACTGACAAACTAGCAAGATGCTTTAGGTAGAAAAGAGCAAACCCTAACAAGCATGTAGAAAGGCCAAAGTTAACTCATTCCTGTCTGAATAGATCTATTAAAACATTATAGTTGGTTTAACTGTTATGGCTCTAAACCACAGGACCATAAAATTAATGCTCTTTAATTTGTTCTTTACAGGTTAGTCAAAAGGTCCCTCCAACTTTCAGATTAAGTGTTGCAAACATTATACTAACCTGTTTCTGCCAGATACATTCTAATAGCATTAAAGTTACTGAATTCCTTAAAAACAATAACTAGGTAATTCATATGTATGTCAAAAAAATAGTATTATTTGTGCCATGCCTTTGGACTACATGCCACATTATGACTGGACTAAACCAGTTATTCATTTAGAATATACCAGCAAGTCAGGTAGTCTGGCTGGTCTTAATTCCTTTTACCAGTGGTTCAGAAATGCTTCTGACTTTTAGGGATGAAATTTTGCTGCCATACAGGTTAGCTTTCAGATGATCTGCTTCTGGCAAAATCCCTACTACAAGTTAAATGCTACAACCTCTTGTGTATTAACACAGTAATTGTATACCTAAGAACAGTCACCACCAATGCTTGCAAGAATCAGGCCATGGTGTAAACACAAACTTAAGTCTCACTAGCTGAGATTAACCTCTTCCAGTGAATCTTCTCCAATAGGTAGCCAGTAGATGTCTCAAAGATTACAGCAAGCAGAGAATTCCCCATTATCCTGCAGCTTTTACAGTGAAAATAGTGTATTTATAATCACAGCTGGAAGGGAAGCTCACAGAACACCTTAAAGCAACATCTGCAATTTTAAACAGGAGAAATAGCAACTTCAGTCCTGTTTAGAAGCAGGAATCCACACCTGGACTACCTATTGGGAGGATAGTAAAGAACATCAGGGATGACATGAAGTAGGTAACTAAGCCCAAGTATAAAATTTGACTTAGAACTCTGGTTATTTTATCATCAAGCCTAACTGATATTTCGTTAAAACTTCAGCTTTTAGCGATAAAACTTTCCAGAGATTCTTTCCATCCTTCATCCAGCTAGGTTAAGCCATCAACACTGAAGAGATTTAATTCCACCGTTTGCTTCTTAAATTGAGCAGTCATACAGAAGTAGCTTAAAGAAAAAATCCACCAAATGTATGTTCTGCAACTCAAGCCTATTCAAGTTGTTCAACTGACATTTTCCTTGAGTAAAGGCAATGATTCTTTACAGTTTGTCTATGGAACCACTCAACAGGTCTTGCATCTGCTGTAAAAATACCAAATTTCACTAGAACTCAAATTCCTCAGTATAAGGGGACCAGTCAAACATTCATCCAATATTATTTAATATTTGCTTTTTAATTACATGTAAGAATACTAGATAAAGTCTATTTTGACATTACACTCTACCCTGAGCAATATGCTGGCCAGCTAGCATGTTACAAAGTGACTTCATTATCCTGCCAGTGAGTGGCTGGCACACTTGCATCCCATTTCTAGTGCTTAGCCACATGTAAGGGCCCCACACTTCAACAAAACACATTAAAAATAAGACCACAATCGAGCAAGGATTAAGAGGCATCAACATACTCTTGTCAGGCTTTCAGCTTCTTAAAAAGAACCCCCCAAAACACACCAAAATGTGTGAGTTGAACATCTAAAAATGAAGTTACTTACAGCAGACCAGTGTGGACAGCAGCTAAGACTTACACCTTCAGCAAATTCCATCTTTGTTAGTGAACCATAGGGTCACCATTTGAGATTTAAGGGTGATTTGTAGCTATCTTTGGCTGCTTAAAGCCATTATCAGTGCATTAAACGATAGAAGGTAAATGCACTGCTCTGAGGTATGTAGAGATTCTTCACTGTTCAGGAAGTCTATGCATTCTCTGTTCCCAATTTAAAAACTTCTTAAGAGGAAATTTGATATCACCACCTGTGCTTCCACCCCATTTTAGTATGCAAGAAAGGCAAGTGTGTATGTAGGGTACTGGAGGTTTAGGAAGGAAAAAAAAAAAAATCATTTAGCAACACCTTTTTATGTACACACAACTAATACACTTAATCATTTGCCAGACAGTACCTGTTTCAATTGCTTCAGTTTTCCCTACAAGCTGAATTTCCAAATGAGTGTAAAAATTTGTAGATTGAGCATTTAAAACCATGGCAATAGCACAGACAATTAAGACGAACCTAAACTTTTTTCTTTGAACACAAAAAAACCCCAAACTGTAACAAGACCTTTTCCATTATGAAAAAGGAAAAACCTTCTCAGTTACATTAAGCTACCTAACAGCTTAAACAACACAACACTGAATGCTGGCTGCTCAAGCTATATGCCAACACAAGCAGCTTAAACAGTAGGTGGTGACCCACAAAGTTGGTAATACCCTTGAATTCCCCACCTTTTCACAAGGAAGCCACACAAGCCATTTCAGAGATACCAGGTTCATTCTGACATACTGCTCCTTAGAAAACACAGAACTTTAAACCAATGCTTCAAATGACATGTTACGTATTTAAACGGAAAAAGACTTAAAATTTCTGTGCAAATTTAGTTCATCCACCCATAAGTTAGGAAACAGGTTCAAGAGGTTTACTTTAACAAATCGTGTTAGGGTAGAATTAACAGGTAAGTACAGCATTTGAACACTACAGTCATCTAAACAGCATTTTGTGGGCAGCGTACTACATTGAGAACTCAGTATGTTTTTAAGAGGCAGGCAGGTATTTTACATAGATTTCACACCTGCCAAAGTAAATCCTGTAACAAAGTGATTTAGCATTATGTATATAACACTGATCTTTAGGCAAACAGACACATTAAACCAACAAATCTGAGGACTGCGAGGAATGTTATAGCTGGTAGGAGCCTGCTACAAAATCCTTAAGGATGCATTGCTGTGTTGCTGTAAATCTTAATTCAGGACACTGGTGAACAGCTTTAGCAAGAGACCTTATACCAGCCACTTTAAAGCAAGCAGACATTTCAAAGTCTTCTTTTGGTTGCCAGAAGTTTAATCTTGCTTCACTTCACCCTTTAAGTGCCTTTTCATACGTGAATATGGGCTGATTGTGTCATCCATCACGAAGTCATATAGTACTTTTACCCAAGAGTTATATTGTGGCAGGTTGTCATAGTATTCAGCTGCTATTTTCTTCACCTAAAGAAGAAATACAAGGTTTATTTGCTATTTATATTAGCACTAATAATGAAAATTCACAATCCTCAATGTGTAAATTAATACAGAGCACTAGAAGTCTCATTTTAGCTGTTAAGAGTCTATAAGGAAGGCTACTAGTACCACAGTATGAAAGTTTGTTGAAGAAAAAAGTTACTCCCTGATTGTTAAGTAAGCATCATGTGAAACTTTTCTACTGAAGCCAGCTAGAACAAGCTGCTAGCACTGAAGTCCATTCACTGTGCTACCTACAGAATGATGTAGCTCACAAAAGTACTTCGGTTGCAGTGGAAGCGGGTGATTCAGTTCAGTGCTGACTCATACGAGTTATCACCAAAAAGGATGCTTTATGTTCTAGGAAGAGATGTTGAAACACAGCTATTTTTACATGTAGCTTCAAGTCATAGCACACAAAGAAAAAAAAGCATCTTATTTCTGAGGTACATCCTGTTTCTGCAGACATCAAAGAACATATATAAACCACTTCCAAAGACTATTCGCAGATGTACATGCCGACTAGACCACTGTTACAATCTAAGAGAGAGAGAGTTTCAGTTAGATATCCTTACTGATATTTAAGGCCCACCACCTAAAGACTGAAAAACCTGAACAAAACAAACCTGAATTTTCACTAAATTCCATAGCTTTTGACAGAAGAAAAATATTAATCTGTATAAGCCACAGACCAACCCAAGATACCTGCATGCCTGCTTTGGAGCTGAAGATTATTTTGATCCATCATCACGCCTACAGTGTGATCACAGTGCATCTAGCCACTATACTTTTATTCAGTGGTAATTATACCCAATACGCCAGCTGGAATCAAGTGTTCAGTTAGTTCAGTGATCGTTAGCACACAGCATAGCAGAGTCCAGTCCAATCAAATTAACTATGTTCTTCTAAAAGGCAGCTTTGTTCTTTTATCAGAGCTGTGGATTAACAGTCTTATAGCAGAGCTGGGTATTCACCTCTGCAGTTAAGTACTTGGAAAAAAATTCATTCCCTGCTTACAACTTAAGTACTGGTCCAAGAAGTGAAATGCTGGTTCATCAGCACAGATCTCAGTATCAAGGCGAGTTAAAGCAGCTTTGGCTGCATTTGAAAGATGAAATCTATGGATAAGAAAAATGACCCATCTCTTTCAAAAATCAACAAGGCCCACAGAAAAGTCTCAACAAAGGAGTTACAGAATTTAACCACCTTGCTAAAGTAGTGCTGGAGTAGTTATTTCACCTACACTTCCACCGACAACAGAAACAACAATCAAGCTTATACTCCAAAGGCACAAGCTTACAAGGTCACTATCAAGTACAGTAACAAAGCTGCAAGACCAACACCACAGCTGCTGTCAAACTGCTAATTTAGTGTCTGATTAAAGACATTTTCCACTGATAAAAGCAACTTTTAACTGAAGATGAGTTTTAGGTGTAACCCTGGAAGCCTGTGTTCCCATACTCCAATTGGGACACACATACACAATGACAATTAAGCTCCTGCTTAAAAGCCAGCAAAGACCTGGAGAGGAACTAATGTGAAAGTTCCCATCTACTCTCATGTGGAAGGTCCAAAGTCTCGGCTTTGAAGCCTAACACTTACTTAGGGTTCAAAAGCTCTCACTAGAAGAAACTGAGCTGCTCCAAACTAGAAAGCTATTAAACATATGTCACACTACAACAAACATCAGCAGTACCTCAGACCCTCTCTTTTCCCCATCAGAGAATTACAGTGATAGGAGAGACTGAAGGATAAGCATGCATAAGAACACTGTCCTTCAGATTTCAAGGACAGAGCCAACAAATCTGAAGTTATTTGCAACTTCTTAGCTAGTTTCTGAAGAAATCAGAAGGCTGGTTGTGATTAAAGAATACAGTGCACAACTTAAGACATACATTTCCTCCCCTCCACTTTCATGGAAGAGGCTGTGGTTAGGTTAAGAGAGCACTGAAATTATAAATAATTACCCCCTTCATCACTCAACTTGAAAACAGTTGTTTGTTCTTGTTTGGGCTTTTTATCTCCCAACTTCCATTCTTCTATCAGTGTTCCACCCAGTTTTCAAGTAGGGCTTATTTTGAGCAAAAGTAATAACCTCAGAAGTAAACTTACCAGTGGAAGGCTCTTGCCAGGAATATTAGGAAAGTCATGATGTTCATTGTGATAGCCAACATTAAAAGTGAGCAAATTAAGTGGCCCATAGTAGGAATATGTCTCATGTCCTTTCAAAAACATGTAATGTTCAGCTATGAAATGTCCTGAAATTGGGTGCAACCCAAGTCCAAGTACTGAGCCAGCAAGCATGTAAAATGTGGATTTAACTCCCCATAAATAATATATCACGACATCAAAGGAAAGTTGAGCCAACAAATTGATTATTTCAAGTCGAGTAATAGGTTTGGGATTGATGCAGAGAGGTCTAATCGCATAGAAAAATGGCTGAAGAACAATCCATATGAACTTCCTAAAACGGGTGCAGAAAAACCAGCCTTCAAAGTTGGTAGGAATGTCCACATCAATTCCATCACCTCCCAAATAACGATGATGATCCATGTGGTATCTCTTGAAGGATATGGAGTATGGGAGGCCAAGAGGGAGGTTGGCAAATATCCCAAACCATCGATTCCACATTGCTTTGCTGTTGCCAAAGGCACTGTTGTGGGAGATCTCGTGAATCGCCAGAGTCATGGAGTGGCTAATACAGCTTCCAAAAACATATGCCCAGAAGATTACCCATTTCCAGTCCAAGTCTTTAACTAGGTAAAAGGCAGTCAACTGTGCAAGAACCATCAGCACAACCACCCAGATCAAGTTGTAGTCTGGCTTCATCAACGCTTTAATCTCTGGATGCTTCGCTAGATGGGAAAGAATTCAGTGGAAAAAAAGCAGTTATTTAGAAGCTCTCCTCACAAACAGTTAGATTACAAAAGCAGATACAGCCATTCCTTCCCTTCCTCCCAGTTAGGGCTGTCTGCAAACATGATGAAACCCCACCAGCTTTCCACTTGTGACATTTACTGCAATAATGAATCCTTTCAATTTAAATCATTTTAGCGTATTTCTGTTGCTCAGAAACCAGACATGTACATGACAAGCATCAGTACCACCTCCGGCTACCCGGAAAGGAAAAGCCTTGAACTGACAACCCACCAGCAATTCAGAAGGGCTGATTTTGGCCATCTCGCTTGAAAACGCGGTTCTTCGCCACCACTCCTGCGTGCCGCGGCGACCTCTACGCCCTGCACCCGAGCTATTTATACCGACCACCAGACACGTTATCAATTATTCAGCTCGCTTCCTACCGCACGCAGGGCTCCGCGGAAGCGGGCGGCGAGCGGCCCGCAGGGAGCGAGGGGACCCGCATCACCCGCACCGCTCCGCAGCTCGAAATGGAAGCCCGAGCCGCCCACCCTACGTCTGGGGCTCAGGCGCTGCCTCCGCCGGCAGCGAGGAGCCCCCCGCCTCCTTCTCCTTCCCCTCCCCCGCCGCCAAGGTGGCGGCTCCCGCCTCCACAGACGCGGCCGGCGCCGCGCCGCTCCTCTCCCTCGGCCCGGGCCGGTTGTGGCCCCGGCCGCACTCCTCCACGCTCGCCTGTCCCCACGCTCCAGGTTCCTCTAACGACCAGCGGCGACGGACGGGCCCTCCGCACGGCGCCCCCCGGCGTGGGCGCCCGGCAGCCATTTTGTGGGGTGTCCCCCGCGCCCCGCCACGCAGCCAGCGGCAAGGAGCGGCAGCACCGCCGCCACCTCTCCTCCTCACCCAGGATCTCCTTGCGGCGGTCTGCATGAGGCTGGTCCGTGTAGACCCACTCGAAATCCTCTCTGGCCACGGTGTTGCCCATCTCGGCAGCGCGGAGCCCCCAGCCCGCTGGCCCGTACCCGCCCGGCCCGGTTCCGCAGCACCCAAACCGCGACACCCACCCTCCCCGCTCCGCGCTTTATAGCTCCGCGGAGGCGGCTCGGCGGGAGTCCCACCCACCACCCCGGCCTCGCTCCCCATTGGCTAGCTGCCGGCTGTCAGGGCTGACAGGCCCCGCCCCGGGCCGGGCGGGTCGAGGCGCGTAGCGGAGCCATCGCCTGAGGGGCCGGCAGCTCCTCAGTGCCGGCCCCCGTCGAAGGGCGGTTGTGTGAGCCCCCTCCTCACGGAAAAGGTGCACATTGATCCGTCCTGCGGCCGTACGGGCGGGCTGCGGCTCTCCGACCTTCCCCCTGGAGGCGTCCTCGGCCGAGGGGCCGGGTGTGGGCTGAGGGGGCGGTGACGCGGTGCCGCCTCAGGGGGGCAGAGAGCGGGGCGGCAGCCTGCCCCTCAAACCAGCAGTGCGGTGGCCAGTGCTGTGGGTGCCCTTAATAACGCCTCATGAATAAGTGGTATGTAAGGAGGGAGAGAAAAGTCTCGGCTTGTAGCGCTAGCCCTGGCTCCGGGAGCCCTCCTGCGCCCAGACGCTGTGGAAACCCGGAGCTCCTTCATGGCTCACCGTGGTAGAGAGGACGAGCCGGCTTCATGTTCACACACACCCCGCCCCGCGGTGCGCTGCCTCCTGTCCTCAATGGTGCTCATGCGGGTTTAGCTGCAGGTGGGATTTCTGCCCCCTCGGTGGTGACAACCTGCCCAGAGGCCGCCGCAGACTGTCGAGTAGACTCATGCGAGTCGCTTTATTAAGACTGGAAACAAACCGCATCTTCCAGTGGCTCTTCAAAAAGCACTTTTTCTTGTCCATAGGTGAGAGATGTGTGGTTGGAAGAACTAGCTGTCATTTGGCCAAAGTCTAAACTTCTAAAAGCTACCTAAAGATACATCCTCAGCTGCAACTCCAAAACACCTGGGCCAAGGTAGGTCTCCATTTTCTTCACTTTTTGTGGTAAGATATTTTAAGAGCTTTGACAAACTTCTCTGTGAGAGCTAAACTCCATTTTATCTCTCCCTGCCTCTATTTTGCATAAAATACTGACTGTGGGCAGTTCAGTTACAAAGACTACTTTATGTAGCAGTTAGAATGAGTACTTGCTTGGAATTTTAGTTGTCCTTAATTCCACTCTAATGATAGATAAAGCAGTAGATGCCTCTTAGGATTGATAAAGCAATAGACATCACTTATGATAAACTGATGGATGCCTTTTATGATAGAGAAAATGATGGGTACCTCTATGATAAAGGTATAGATGCCTCTTATGATGGATAAAGGGATAGACACCATTTACATTAGTAAAAGTGATAGATGCCTGTTATGATAGAGGATGTGATAGATGCCTCTTACAATAGATAAGGTGATAGATGCCTCTATGATAGATAAGGTATGTAAATCAATAATAAGTGATAAAAGTAACAGGAAGTTGTCACAAAGTAAATTATACCTGATGTATGAATGTAATATGAATATCTCAAGGTTCATGATGCATTGCTTAAAATTTATTAGTAATAATAAATAAAAAAGGCCAATAAATATTACCCCATGTGCAATGGTGCAAATGCAGTGGAAATACAATTCCTACTTGAAAATGTTTACAACCTAAAGTAATGGACAAAGCACAGGATCTCTAAGACGAAACAGCTTTGCAAATATTTTTGTTCACGCACATTTTTAATCTGTGCATATTAGGATGTGAATTAGAAGCAAAAATGGGAAGAGTGGAAGAAGGATGGAAAAGTTTATTCACAGCTCCTCTGTCCATAGTCACATGTGAGGAGTGGTGCAGCATACACAGGAAAATCAATGTTTCTATTTCATCAAGGAATTTTCTCCTTGTTCAGTTTTACTTGCTCAGTGACCACTTCTCAATAAACCAGGAAGTGCGTTTGAGTTACCAGAGCAGAAGTTGTTTGCAAAATTGCCAGGATCACAAGTGTTTCACTCAACGTCAAAAACGGGTGACATTGGAATGGAAAGTTCAATTCCCAGCTCCAGCTTTGGACGCCATGGGTCTGATGGACTGGTTGAAAAACAAGTCTCCCTTGTTCCTCAAAATGTTCCCTTCTTATTGTAGTTCAAATATTAGCACTGCACTAAAAACCTTCTCAACCATGGGAAGGATCCTGCAGAGAACAAAACGTGGCTGCTGCTAAGAAAGGTCATAGCTACGGACAGGAGCACTGGAGGGAAAAAAAGACACGGGTATTAAGAGTTCAGTACGCAGCAGCAGGTTTACAGCACTGCAAATTTATATAGGTTTGTAAATGGTCACAAGTTTCAGTAGGGTAGTTAAATAGATTCCAGATTTATAAAATAAACATTCCATTGCAGCTAAACAAGGCTTAAACAACTAAGAAAAATATTAAATAGGAAAGTTTTGGAAAATGTAATTGCCCAAGTGTCCTGGAGTGCAGTGTTTTTCCTAATCACTGAGCCTTTCTGGTTTAAGCATTCCATGTAACAAATCCAGATTGGGTCATCAGCAAGGTAACAGGTTTTGTATGGAACTTTCCCTTCTAAAGATGAAGATATCCAGTACCTAGCATGTCTTCAGCTGGCACAAAGCTAGAACAAAAAATCCTGGAGTGCTCAGTTACACATAAGCCACAGCTGGCAGCACATCCCCATCCACCCAGGAAGGTGAGATCCAGCAAGTACAACTGCGAGAACTGAGAGTACATGGACAAGTAAGCTGGTCAAAGAACAGTGCAAAGCAACATAGGAATGCAACTAGAGAGTATCAGAACAGTAACAATTAGCAGATGTGTTGTGGTAAGATACTCCAAACTGAATTTACCTATGAATGAACAAACTATCACTGCAATTTGCCAGTTACCACCTTAAAATCATCAGGAACACTAGGAAATAGGTTATCCTTGCTTGTCCAAACACACATTTAACTACTTCTTGCATCACCCTACTTTCCAAGAGGCTCCTGATGCAGAAAATTCCTTAGGTGATCTTAGCAGTTCCCATAATTAACTGTTAGAAGAGCTTAGTAAGAGCAACAGAGCTTCTGTTCAATAGTCTTACCTCTTACATTGAGAAATTATGTGGAGGCAAACTTGTAACATTAATGAACTTCTATGATTAAGTTAATGCGCTGAGTATCAGGAATTCAAGACCCTACCATGAAACAAAGAGCTGTTACAAAGCAAGCTGCTCTTTTAAGACTAAAAAAAAAAGCAAGCAAGCTCAAGAAACAGGAAAGCCTCAGGAGTTTTAAGCTATTTTAAGAAACAGCTGTAGAAGACACTTGGCTTTTCCTGTCAACCCTGAGCTGTACTGTTTCAGCTGTTGCTACAAGCGCCAAAACTGAAGACACTGCAAATAAAATTTTTTATGTTAACTTGTAAATTACATCTTAGTCTCACTAATCTGAGGTTCTACCTTGAACAGATTCTGTGATCACTAATTGCTACTAACACTGTACTTTTTGAGGCTGATATACCAATTCATGTAAACCTGCACAGAAATTTATAGTCAGAAATGATTTAATTTTACTTCAGGCTATTTATCAGCATGTTCATGCACCCTTTTCTATTTAGTAAGGGTCAATATGGGGTCAGAAATTCATTTTCCAGTTATTCCTCTACTATTATTTGTTTTCCATATTCTATCTATACCACGAGTGTATATTCCAGTCTGAGAGTAATCTCCCTCCCTCCCTCCCCAGGAAGTGAAAACAAAATAGTAGCATACCTTTGCTGTGACATTTCTTGGAGATTGTTTGTAACCCTAACCCTTCTACCACTTAAGTTTCATGGGGCTCATTCAATTTTACTACATTTGGTAGCACACAGACGATCAGGATACACCTGCAAACTTGCAGCACGTGATACTTCCTTTAGTTGAAGGTTCCAACTTGGCACCATTCACAGAGAATGTTTCATGTAACAATAGGCTGCTGTTGTTCTTTCCAGCTCAGTTTACACGTGGCTTACACACAGATTCACAAATAATATGAATAACCTGAAACTATTTGTATACTAGGGGGGAGGGAGGGAACCGTTTGCATCTTTTAGAATAAAGAAACTGAAGTGAAAGATATTGAGATATATGAATTAACCTTTTCAGTATATGCAATTCCTATTTAACCACAAATATGGGGTAGTTAAAAAACTCCATCAATTTGTCACCATGAATGACCATTAAATGAATTTGTATCAAATGATGGACAGCAGTTACAGCTATCATTTCGAACCTTTTGAGTCAAGATTATTTTCTAAAAGACAAAATATATGCTTTTAAACTGAACAGCAGATACCTACCTTAAAGAGGTCCATAACAGTAAAAAAAGCAATTTACTCCTTTAACAGTTTAACCTTTCCCTCAGATAACTTTGTATCACTTCCTGGATGCTTCTTTTAAGCAGTATGTTTGGGGTTTTTTTAAAGGACACAAACCACCCAACAAGTTTATTTGAAAATTAAATGTCTGCTAAACATTAGGCATTTGCAATGTTACTTCTGATATGAGCTAATATGTTTTAGAAGTAAAACTTGTAGCTGAAGTTTTAAGGAAAGGTCGCTTTTCCCCACAATCGTGTAACATTTGACCAGACAATTTCTGCTTTGTTCACCGATTTAAATACAACCACTACGTGATGCTGACAGCCACATAAAACGTATGAGAAATTTGCACTTTAACTCATGGTAATAACAGCAAGATTCTGACCAGCTCCAAATGCAGTATTTGCATTTTCAGTGCCACACCAATCTGAATTCAGTACCACCTAAACACAAAGCAGCAGCTAATTAAAAAAAACCCGTAAGTCAAAGGATAAAGCTACATAGTTTAGTACATTAAAACAAAAACAAGGACAATGGTATTTGTATAAAGTTCCAAAAATATACAGATGGGGAAAAAAAATAAATCACTGTACACAACTCTGAGGTTGTTAAGGTGATCAGAGAGACTGAACAGTGCAAGACATGCTTTTCCAGTTACAAGCTCAAAACAGAGGTGCAAAAGAAATTAAAGCTTTGTCTGAAGTGATTTACTTTTTCGGATAAGGAAACTGTAGAATATTGTCATCAGTGTTACAGAGAAATTTCCACCCCACCCCAAACACATACACACATAATAGTTGAAGTTTTCCCACAATACAGAATTTCATTCAAACATGTCCCCCTGAGCTTGGGTATTCTGGGGACAATTTGATACTGATTAAATGTTGGCCTGTGAATCAAGTGATCTCAGTTCCCCAGCTCTGCCTAACTGTACCTGTGATTTACAGGCAGTGAGAGAGGGAGAGCATCGGGGTTCAAACTCACCTGGGTGAGACCACATCATTGTCAGAAAGCAGATACTAAGCTATGGCTGAGGAACAAAGAAACTGCTTTATAGGTCTCTGCTCTCTCCCAGAGTTCCGAACAACTTCAGGCAAATGCTTTTGGTAGGCTGACTAAGCTGCACATGCATAAATCCATGCAAACGTGGAATATGACTCCCAAGACCAACATCCAGGGGGTGTGCATGTGAAGACCAGACAGAGGCCTTTCAAGTTTACAAAAATACATAGCCAATACTGTAGCTTAAGAAGTCAGTGTTACTTGTTACAGAGACCCCCCAAAAGTATTAACTACTTTTCAGACATTCCAGACAAGGTCACTTTTAACAAAAAAAGTTCAAGTTCTCTAAACCAAGATTTTACAAATGGATCTTTGCTTCAAGTGAACAGGACATTTGTTTTTATGCTTAACTTTTTAATCAGTTAAGACTGAATTTATTTAAGGTTTTTATTTGAACATATGCATAAACACAAATAAGTTTACTTTAAACACATCGGCACAAAAAAAAGTTACCCTCTCAAAACATAACAGAGCAGGTCTGGTTAGTATGTAACTGTTGCAAATCTGAAAGATTTTGTGCATTAGGCCCATCCATACAGATAGCAGGGGAAAAGTCTCAATGAAAGAA